CAGATTAATTATATCTCATGTATTAATAGATACACTTAAGAGGACTATCTTGTATAGAGACTTACTCTATGGTTTTTAAAAGCAGTTTGTTTTTTTAGATTTTAGATGTCTTGGGCTAAAAAGAGATGTTGGCAGCCCTGAGCAAAGCACTTTTGGCACAAGGATTTTTGTTTTTGTTTTATTTTAGAGTATGATACAGAAAATGAGTTGGGTTTTGTTGTTGTTAGTTAGTTCTTTTTAATTTATTTTTAACTTTTTTAGTGATGGCATATTTCAGATTTCAGTGACAAACATAGATCATCCAACTGATTTTAAACCAGTTTGGTTATTCTACCTAAGGTGAGGGACATGGCTGTCAATTAAAGTCAAGCCAAACTATATTAAGAGTAGTATGGGGCAGAAGTTAAAATTATCTTTTGAAAACCAGGTGCCTCCTAGTTTCTCCTTTCACAACAAAATGGCTAGTTACCTAGTCACACTTGCCCTTACCCTCCCTTGTCTAGTCTTTGGAGTTACTTGGGTGGAGCGGAAGATGGAATTGGCAACAGTTCAGTCCCTTTAGGTAGCATTATTCCTAAATTATGCTGCCAAATCTCCAGGGTGTAGATTGTTTGAAATGTTAAAATTCCACATAGCAGTCTTTTGCACAGCTTAAAGGCATTTAACTTTAATGTGTAGTGAACAAAGAATGAAAATTGGGTCATATCAAATTTAACTTTAAAGCACAGATTATAAACATTTTCGAATGTTAAGTCTTAAGTAGGCACTCTTATTCTCAACTTGGTGTGCAAGCTAGCCTTGCTGACAGTGGCATAGTTACATTTACTGTTTTTTAAGTTGCATGTTGTGGAGTGAATGCTTTTTTGGTTTTGGGGGGTTTTCTTGAGTTAACAAGTTAATCAAGTTCTAAATTAGTGGCAAAATGGTAATTGAGACCCACTGTTGTCATTATCGACTCCATATTGATTGCTTTAAATACTTAACAAATCTCAGCTGCTCACTAATCCAGCGGACTAGGGTGCAGTATCTGTTTCGCTCTTAGCCACTATGGGAATTTGAAGTTCTTCTGTAATCATCAGAGATTCCTTCCAGGCCACAGATTTTCATGTGAATGTTTGTATGGTTATATTCAATTGACAAGGAAAAGTGTTGGTGCATGTTTTATAAACCCAGACACAGACAGTTAAAACGATAACTAGTTTTTCTATATCCAGTAGCTTTGAATTAAAAACATTATGCTTTTTCCCTGAAGAGCAGAGGATTCTTTGTTCTAGGAACTACATTCTTAATCTAACATTAGGAATTGGTGATAGGAGAAACAGGATCCAGAATTCAGAATTTAGTGTCTTAGGGCAAAAAATGCATCTTACTCTGGCTATTTGAAAATACATTTATTTGTAGATAAGTCTAGATTTAGTCTTAAAAATCAAAATTTTCACATTTTAAAACTTTTCATTCCTTGATATCTATCAAAACGTGTCATATGTTAGGGAACCATTTCTTATGTTCATGTGTTTTGGAATTAAGTTATTTGCGTTCATTGTTTTAAAATCTGCCCATTTCTGTTTATATGTATTTACCACAGATGTGTTGGGACTTTGCCTAAAGGGAGAGATATTTCAGCACCTGTATCACTGAGGAGATAGAACGGTTGGTGACAACTGTATAGTTTTGAGTTTGGTTCTGTAGACAGTTTATTTGCAGAATAGTTATTTATCTGTGTTCTAATATAAAAAGTATTATGGCATGGATTACGGCATGTAACCACTATGGTAGTCTTCACATGTCAATATTTACCCAAGTTCAGAAATCACAGGTGCATATTTAGACCTTAACTTAGAGAAGGGAACCAGAAGCAGTTCCAGTCCTCAGACCATATGGAAAGATGTAGTACATTGAAAACCCCAGGTGGTTGTTAGGACATCCCACTTCCCTGTCCTCATCCAATAGAACTCTGGTATATACTTCAAGGATGTGGGAGTAGTGTGGAAACATATCATTGGATATTCTCAAGAGTTTGGCTGTCCCTCTGGAAATATGAGAAATTTAAGCCAGTTAGACTCAGGAGCCTGCAGAATCTGTTGCCAACATTGCTAGGGAGAACTGCAGGAGATAAATGGGGAATTCCTATAGTTCTTAGGTAACTCCAGGACATGGGACAAGGATCTCCCTATTCATTTTAAGGAGAATTGGATGCTGCACATCTCAAATCCCTGGCTGGACATGAAGTGATGATATTAAAGTCTTGACCCATCAGTACATTTTCTAATTCAGTTGTGAATACCTGCTCCAACTTTTAAAACATAAGCTTGATGTTTACTCCCCTTAAGCAAGTTTGGAAAATTGCTTGATGTGATACACAATCTCAAGACACTGAATAGCCAAGCCGAAACCTTTACTCAGTAATGATTTGAATATTTCCTTAGATTTTGCTGGATCCTTGGTCTTAAGGAGACATGTAAAGGATGTGAAGCCTTTTTCTTCATTGCCCTGTGGAACTTTAACAAGATCTGCCTCTTTAATTGAAGTGACAGATACGGGCACAGTATGTATCACTGATGATACTGACATATCTCTCAGATACCCTGGGCCAAGGGTTCTGGGTTCCTTGACCTAGAGAATAGGATTCAGTGAGGCAGACCTTTGAGCCCACGTGACTATAGAATTTGCTGATGATACAATTTTACACACTAACGATAGGAAATTTTATCTATCTTTTCAGTAGTTTAATATTGTCTCATATTGTGTACATAAGTGTTCACTCACCCTGTTAAAAACACTAGGTAGACCAAATTTTTATATAGACTACCCTTGCCATATGTTGCTTTTTTTTCCCTCTTAAAATATACAGTTTAAATCCTTAAAAATTCATGCACGGCACTTCACCATACCTGGGGTCTGTCTGGGTGTTCTTCTCTCATCCACAAGGGATAAACAAACCTACCAGAGCTTGAATGTGATTTATTTTAGGGATCAACCCAGGGAAGGGGAAGCCCTTGGGATTTTTTTCTTTTTAAACTATTCACCAGTTAGGTAAGTTAGTTCACTAAGGTAAAAAGCATTCAGAGATACAAAGATAGGAAGCTAAAGGAAATGTAACACTGTGCCACTTGGGGCTCTGAAATTGGATTGGATGAACTGAGTAAAGAAAATAACAGATGACCCAGGCTTGAGCTCCCTCATTTCTCATGCACAGTTCATGGTCCCCCCCCTTCTGACTCCTTTCCTAAAATAACCAAGTGCTGAATTTCACTGGGCCATTTACATACAAGTTCACAGCTTTTAGGAAAAAAGAGGGAGTTGGGAAACACCTAGCTTTGAATTAGATATAATTCTTGAAAGTTCTGAACTACTGGCAGCTCTTAAATCAGATGGAACCACAAACCAGAAGAATTCTCTCTTGTCGAGCAAGACCAGTAAGTTAGAGTAATTTAACAATTTCATAGTTTTCTCCCTTTCTTCTCCTCTTCATGAAATCAGAGTGATGAGAATTGCTCTTTGAAATACCTTCAAAGGTATTGTATCCATTTCCCTTCCAAGCAGCCCTCTTTATGCATTTTTGCTCAGGCAACCAAGGACATAGAGTATTGCCAGAAACATGGAGTGCTTTTGTATAGGCCATCTGTACATAAAAGTGTAATTATTTATTTAATTTTCCCATTTGTATCATATTAAAGCTTTGTACAGTGTTTTAAGTTCTGTTTTAAAATTATTTTGTATTTTATTTTTATAATCTAGTAATAAAATATTCATTCCGCATGCAAACTCTAGTTCTATTTGTGTGGTGGTTTGGATTTCAAAGGTGGGAAATATTATTTTTCTGATAAAGTTATTGAATGCACCAGAGGTTACAAGATCAACAGGGAGTAGAAAGTGTTCTATAAATGCAGTACCGCATCCAGAAGTGACCTAGAAAAAGAAGCACTGGACTGAATAGAAACTAGGCGTTCACAATCCCTGCAGATAAAAACCAGGGGTTCTTTTTCCTTCTCTGTAGGAAATGTCCCTGTAGCACTGGAGTGATTTCTGCTTCCCACCATTCTCTCCTTTCCACCTTCCTTTGAACCAGGGGAACTCTCAGGAGGCATTCACATGGGCACTGCTTCACCCTTCCTGATTTGGTCTGGCCTGGAATGTTAGTGCCATTTGTTTTTCTCTGCCTGGTTCCCTGTCTTGATTTCTCAGTGAGCAGCAACATCCAAAGAGGTGACTGATGTTTTTCGAAATAAGAGAAATTAAGAAATAACTCAAGCTCCCAGAAGCTAATTATGTATATGCCTGTTAACTTCTCAACTGCAAAGTAGCTCACATATTAACCTTGTGTAATGTATAAGGGATACAGACTAGGCTATTCTATGTGCAGGATGGGCGGAGGCACTTTAAGGGTTGTGGGCTGAGGATACTAAAAAGCCCCCCTGCAAGAATTCTGTCTTAAAGTCTTAAATCATCAATCAGTTGATGGTGAGTGGGGAAAACCATTGGTACCGCATGGGCAGGAGACTCAGCTTTTGAGAAAGGATAAAGTTAGCTTAACTTCATTTTGACCTTGCCTAACTTCTTTAGGGTGGTGACGATTGAACCTAGAAAGACTCTTGAAAGAAAAGAATGTGCTTATCGTAGAAAATATAGGCATCTTCTCTGGAGAATCGTTCACCTTTACCGTCCGGCCGCTCTCCCGGGCCCTTGGTTTCCCCGCCGCGTCCCCGAGTCCCGGCAGGTCGCCTTCGGGCCAGAGCTGCCGGGGCCGGGCCTCACCGATAGTGGTGCGCTGCACTTGGGGGACCACCGTACCTCTTGTCGGGAACCGCGGACCCATCCGCGGCCTTGAGCCAAAGCCTGTGCGGAGCCTCAGCCTGCTGAAGCGCCGCTGCCGCCGGCCCAGGTCCTGGTCTCGGTCCCGCCCTAGTCCCGCCCCACCGCCCTGGTCCCGCCCTCTACATCCCGCGGCCCAACGGTCGCCCCGCCCCCCGGGCGCCCGTGGCGCGCCGGCGCCTGCGCCTGCGCAATCGCCTCCGAGCGCCTGCACCGGGATGGCGGCCGTTTTGGAGTCGTTGCTGCGAGAGGAGCTGTCGGTCGCAGCCGCTGTGCGGTGGATCACGCGCAGCGCCCAGAGTTCGGAGGTAACAGCGCCGACACGCCCCCAGACTGGCCCGAATCTCCTTCCCGCGGGAGGTACCACCCCTCTCGTTCTCTTCCTCTAGGGTGCCTGGCTGTCAGCCCGGGCCGAGTGCGCTCCAGCTAGGGGCCGCTACCCCCGGCCGCCCACCCCTCTCAGCGCGTCCTGCGGCCCCGGCTGCTTGCGGCCCCGGGCTGGCAGCTGACCCTCTCGCCCTTCGCTGCTTCTCCCTCAGGATGACCCCGGGGAGGCGGCCGCGCTGATCTCACTTCGGCCGCTGCGGAAGGAATTCGTGCCATTCCTGCTGAACTTCCTGAGGGAACAGAGCAGCCGCGTCCTCCCGCAGGGCCCCCCAACCCCCGCCAAGGCCTCGGGGTCCTCGGCAGCCTTGCCAGGGAGACCCGGGGGCCCGCCGCGGGGCGGCCGCGGGGCGCGCAGCCAGCTCTTCCCTCCGACCGAGCCTTCGAGCCCCACCGCCGCTGAGGCCCCTTCGGCCCGCCGTGGGGGCAGGAGGCGGGGCCCGGGGCCGGCCCGTGAGCGAGGAGGCCGCGGCCCCGGGGCCCTGGAGGAGGGGGTCAGCGGGGAGAGCCTGCCCTGGGCCGGGAGCCGGAGGCCCAAGAGCTCTGGCAGCCCCGGCAGCCCCAGCCTCGCGCGCTCTGATCCGCCAAACCTCAGCAACCTGGAGGAATTCCCTCCCGTAGGCTCGGTTCCCCCCGACTCTGCAGGGTGAGAATCAGCCCTTAACCGGGAGATGGGTGGCACGAAGGCTCTACTAGGGGAGTTAATAAACTAAGGCTGGGTGCTCTGTAGTAAAGCGTGGTAATGGCTAGAAGGTTGGGGATGAGATAACTATAGTGGTGAGGGGCATTTTGCAGGGGGTCCAGGCTGTTGTGGTGGAGGTGGTGGTCGAGGGGGAGATGCTTGAAGAAAGGAATATCAGAAAAACCTGTGGCTACTCCTCAGCAGGACCAAGCCTTCACGCAGGATCAACCCAACTCCGGTGAGCGAAGAGCGGTCACTCTCCAAGCCCAAGACTTGCTTCACCTCACCCCCAATCAACTCTGTCCCCAGTTCCCAACCCTCAGTCCTGGACACTAGCCCTTGGGGCCATAGCCTTTCCCCAGGGTGCAGAAGTCTGCAAGAGGAGCGGGAGATGCTCAGGAAGGAGCGGTATGGCCTTGCTGCTCCCTGGGATGTCAGCTGCCTCTGTGGGGGATTGGCAGGGCTTTTCTCTGTGATTGATTTGTCCCCTGGGAACCCTGGGTCTGTTTCCTGGTCTGTGGATGTCTCTTTGAGGAACCTGAGTATAGCTGTGGAGAGGAAGGCAGGCTGACTATACATGACATTTCTTTCCCCATAGCTCTAAGCTGCTGCAGCAATCACCTGCTCCCGCCTGTCCCACCCCAGAATCAGGATGTCCTCACCCCAGCCGGACAGGAAACCTCACAGCTGAACCCGCTGACCCTGCCAGAGTATCCTCCCGCGAGCGTCTGGAGCTGGTAGCCCTTGTCTACTCTTCATGCATTGCAGGTGAGTGAGAGCAAAGGGCCCTGAAATGGAGATACTTGTAGAACCACAGGTTAAAAAAATTGATAAAGCATGTAGGACTGAGCCTTGGTTCTGAATGATGTTCAATACCCTGGAGTTTCTTTTCTTATCTAGAAAACCTGGTACCAAACCTCTTCTTGGAGCTTTTCTTCGTCCTTCAGCTCCTTACCGCCCGGAGGATGGTGGCTGCCAAGGACAGTGACCTTGAACCAAATCCAGGAGCCGTAGGTTGGTGAACAAGCCTCTTTTTGAGAAATGGGGTCTGGAAATGAAATCATTCTTAGCCAACAACTTGGTACTGTCCTTCTAGATTCCCTGGAAAGCCCTCTGTTCCAGAGTGTCCATGATTGTGTCTTCTTTGCAGTGCAGGTTTTGGAGCATCAGTTTCAGTGAGTTTCCCCAGCAGAGGCATTTGAGCCTTATTCCCATTGTCCACTTGGTTCTCTTGTTACTTGGGGTACATGCTTGTGCTTAACACAGGTGTGGTGTGACCCTGGACCTTTTCCTACACGTAACCTTCAATTTTGTGTCAAGGCTATGAATTTAGCCCTTGAAAGAATCAAACTGCCCCCAGTGGTCTTGGTAGCTGACCTTTGGGTTTATCTAATGTTTCTGCCCTGCTCTCTTGTTCGCTGCTCCATTAGGTCTCTCTTATTTCCTTCCCCTTTGCCTCCATCTTTAATCCTTTGCCCGTGACTTTTCTTCATGTACCTGCTCCATGCTCCAGGTAACACGCTGTGTGGTGTGCAGGTGCCAGCTTCCTATTTTCAGTCTGTCCCATTCTTGGTCATTTGTGCTCTTGTCCCTGTAGCGTTCTTTCCCACCTGGACAAAGGGACCTTGAAGCTGTTGGCTGAGAATGAACGGCTACTGTGCTTCTCACCAGTTCTGCAAGGCCACCTGCGAGCTGCCTACGAGGGCAGTGTTGCCAAGGTAGTGACCCCATCTTAGACATCTACTAGCCTGGACCTGACCCTTTCTGGTCTCATAACTCAGGCAGCCCAGCTCACATCACTGTAGTGTCATTTGCACTGGAATGGGGATGAAGTTTTCTGAGCATGAACTCTGCCAGCTTCAGTCCCTAATTGTCACTGCCATGTTTTAGGTCTCTCTGGCGATGCCACCTTCTGCACAAGCTGTCTCCTTTCAGCCAGAAACTGACAATCGTGCCAACTTCTCCAGTGATCGAGCCTTTCATACTTTTAAAAAACAGAGGTGATAAGAAAAGGGAACTTTGGGGGAAGGGGATGAAGCAGGATTTTCTCTGGGATAGGCAGTCTGTGTCATTTTCATAGAAACTAGGAGTTTGACACTAACAGGTGGTAGTTTAGCACTACCAGGCCCTTCCTGGCAAACATCATAAGGGCCACTTAGCCTCATTCTGTTCATGCCCATGGACTTGAACTTCTGACCTTAGCAGCCTTCTCGCAGGTGTATGACTCTAGTCACTGGGTTCTCAGACGAGAGTGCCAGATCAGCTTTAACTGCCCATAGAAGTATGTGAAGCATGTGGTGTACTGCTACCGGGTCTGTAGCCTTATCACATAGAGAACCCTGGAGAGGATAAGGAACGGGGCTGTGGATAGTCCTGTCCTCAGTTCTTCTGAGCTAGGGAAGGCACTCCTGAGAATGAGTTAGGCCAGCTGTGCTTCAGTTGATCGGACATTCTTATGTGTCTGTCAGGGATGTGTTTTATGAGGTGCTTCGAGAGTGGGAAGATCGCCATGAAGAGCCTGGCTGGGATTTTGAGAAGGGCTTGGGCAGCAGGATCAGGTACGTGCTCATACACCGGTCACCTTGTCTTTCTTGCTTCCAGCAGTGAGCAGCTTAGTGGTGCTTGGGTAGCTGATTGAAGGAAGGCTTTGTCCTTCCCGGGCAAAGCTGTTTTCTTCTATCCTCCTTAATCTCTTCAGTTACTGCCATCTCTGCCTCTACTCAAAAGCGATTTGTCGGGCTTCCCTGGTGGCGCAGTGGTTGAGAGTCCGCCTGCCGATGCAGGGGACACGGGTTCGTGCCCTGGTCTGGGAAGATCCCACATGCCGTGGAGCGGCTGGGCCCGTGAGCCATGGCCGCTGAGCCTGCGCGTCCGGAGCCTGTGCTCCGCAACGGGAGAGGCCACAGCAGTGAGAGGCCCGCGTACCGCAAAAAAAAAAAAAAAAAGCGATTTGTTTCTCCAGCTCCTTCCACTCAGAAATCACTCATACTTGCTCTGTGATTGCAAATGCTTAAAAAGTGGAATGCTCTTATCTCAGGTTGCTTGAGTTTTGGCCCAAGTTTTAGACCCTTTCCGACCTCCATTTTCTCCATCATCTCATTTGACAATACAGATAACTTTGCATAGCTAGATAACTAGGATACAGAAAGAATATTCTCTTGTCCACGTTGGTTGTGAAGCTCACTGGCATTCAGTGTAGACTGAAGATGAGAGGGGTGGTATTATTTCATGTTTGGTTAAGTGTATCTCTAGCTTTGAGGGGCCTTGGGGCTGAGGAGAGTGTCCCTTACCTTTTCCCATAGCCTTGTGCCAGCCAGCTCTGGCAGAGGTCTGCTCAAGCCCCTGGTAAAGGGCTGAAAGGCCCAAGGGTTGGCTTGTTCTCTCAGATCTTTCTCTCCCTCTTCCTCCTTCCATCACACTCCATCCCTGCCTCTTATTCCTCAGAGCCATGATGAGTCAACTCTCTGCAGCCTGCAGCCACAGCCATTTTGTTCGACTTTTCCAAAAACAACTTCTCCAGGTAATAGCCCTAGCGGGAGACTGATTAATCTACAGTGGACAGTATGTATTACAGGCAGCCAAGTAATGGCTGGCACTTTGGGATAGGGCAGGCAAGCAGGCAGGTCCTTGGCTGGAGATTGAACAAGAGTTCTGTTCTTTGGGTGGTGGTTGAAACTCAGGAAGCCAGCTCGAGGAGGCGGAGCGCTCTCTCCCATGCCCTGCACCTCCTGCCTCCCCGGGCCTCCTCAGACACCCGGCTCTCCTGGCCTTCCTTCAGCACCTCACTACTTTCTTGCCCTTGATTTGTGCTGTGGTAGAAAGAGCACAGGGTTAGGACTCAGGTCTGGTTTCAAATCCTAGCTCTTGTGACCCTAGGCAGATGTTGAATCTTACAGGTTCCGTTTCTTCACCTATAAAAATAAGAATATAATCCAGACCTCAAAAAACATATCTATGGCACATGACACAGGGTTCATCGCTTCCTCCTCATTTTGTTCAGTCCTTCTTTCCAGAAAAACTCACTGGTTTTTTGATTTCTCTCTTCCTCCCCCTGCCCCAGATGTGTCAGAGTCCTGGTGGTGCTGGGGGCACTGTCTTGGGCGAGGCTCCAGATGTGTTAAATATGCTTGGAGCTGACAAGCTGGGGCGGTTGCGGCGCCTGCAGGAACGGCTTGTGGCCCCTCAGAGCAGTGGAGGGCCCTGCCCACCCCCCACCTTCCCAGGCTGTCAGGGCTTCTTCAGGGACTTCATCTTGAGTGCCAGCAGGTAAAGGCCTCCTGTCTTGCAGAGAGTGGGGGCAGAGGCCAGAAGAGGTTTGTGTTCACAGAAGGGCAGCGTTTTCTCTCCTTTGTCTGGAATATAACAGGGTGGGACTGGGTGTTGCCTGGGCTCCTTCTAATTCACACTTCCTGCCTCCATTTCCCTTCTCATTCTTTCACCCATAACCTCATTGGCCTCCTCTGTCTACCCTGCTGAGCCTTTCTATCTGGAGTACCTCTTCTCTATTCTGGTCCTTCCTACACTTCTTCCAGTACCTTTATTTCCCCCTCCTCTTCATAGCTTCCAGTTTAATCAGCATCTCATGGATAGCCTGAGTTTGAAGATCCGGGAGCTCAACAGCCTTGCCCTGCCTCAGCCTGAGCCCAGTGATGAAGACGGGGAATCAGACGTGGACTGGCAGGTTAGAAAGCAGAGGGAGATGATGGGGTTCTGACCTAGGGGGGAAAGGATATTTTCAAGAAGAAATCTGTAACAGATCTGGTTTTTTGTTTTTTTTAAGATTTTTTTTGATGTGGACCATTTCTAAAGTCTATATTGAATTTGTTACAATATTGCTTGTGTTTTATGTTTTGGTTTTTTGGCTGTGAGACATGCGGGATCTTAGCTCCCCGACCAGGGATCGAACCTGCACCCCCTGCATTGAAAGGCGGAGTCTCAACCACTGGACCACCAGAGAAGTCCCACAGATTTGGTTTTGTTCTAGAAGCCTTATGCTTGGGACCTTTTCCTTCTTGATGCCCTGCAGGGTGAACGGAGGCAGTTTGCTGTGGTGCTGCTCAGCCTGAGGCTTCTGGCTAAATTCCTGGGCTTTGTGGCTTTCCTGCCATACCGGGGGCCCGAACCACCCCCGACCCGTGAGCTCCAGGACACCATTCTGGCCCTGAGGAGCCAGGTGATTGGGGGCTCTGGTAAGAAGGGAGCTGGGAGGAGCTTCAAGGCAATGGCGTTAGAAGGCTTCCCCCAGCCCCTGGGACTGACCCACCCACTGACTGACACTGGCCCTGCCAGGTGCCCCCGGTCCTGGATGTGCGGGCTCTGCTGCAGCAGGGGCTGCGGGCCCGGCGAGCAGTGCTCACGGTGCCCTGGCTGGTGGAGTTCCTTTCCCTGGCTGACCACATCGTCCCCATGCTGGACTATTACCGCAGTGTCTTCACTCTCCTGCTGCACCTGCATCGGTGAGTAGAGAGAGAGCAGGCTTGAGAAAAGGGTGCAGGGAGAACATTGCTGAGGCTGCCATTTATGAAGAGGGTCAAGCAGCCTGTGCTTCCTGTGTGGTACCGTAGCCGTAACTGACCCTCAGGGAAGAGGCCAGGCCTTGATCCACAAGGAAAGACAGTGGGCAGTTATTGAATATTTGCACTTTGATTGGCCCTTTTCTGTTCCTACTGTGGCCCAGCTCAGAAGGGAGTACAGATCTGGGTGGGGTGATGAGACCTGGTTTCTTGTACAACAGCAGTCCCTTTTAGGTCTGTTTTTGAGAAGTACCTTCCCAGTGATAGCTTTCTGTTACTGTATTCCATTTCTCTCTTTGCACAGACTCCATTCACACCCTCATTTACATTTTAGGAGCTTGGTCTTGTCAAAGGAGAATGAAGGGGAGATGTGTTTCCTGAACAAGCTGCTGCTGCTGGCTGTCCTGGGCTGGCTTTTCCAGGTTGGTGGAGTGAGGGTCCAGGTTGGAGAAGGGGGTGACTACTGTGGCTGAAGACAGGGAAAGGGAGAATGTATGAGTCTGAACAAGGTTGGGGCCAGAAGGTGAAGGTTCAGAGGAGGGGTAGGGATTGCCATAGTTTCAGAGGAAGGTGGCTTTGAACCTGGTGTCTAAACCCTGGAACCATGAGGTAGGAGGTGTGACGAATCTCTGAAGTGCTGACTTGCACTGCCCTAATCTCTTGCCAGATTCCTACAGTCCCTGAGGACCTGTTCTTTCTGGAAGAGGATCAGTTGGATGCCTTTGAGGTGGACACAGTAGCTTCAGAGCATGGCTTGGTGAGTGTTGGGGTCAAGCCAGAGCCATGGGAAGCAAGAGTAAAAGGAGGCAGGCTGCCCGGTAGGGCCCAGCAGGAGACAAGCCAGAATAGAGACTGAAGTCTTTTATATAAGACTTTTATGTTTCTGGCACACTGGGGAGGAAGGGAAGCCTGCCTTCCCAACACTGGCCTGTTCTCTCCCCCAGGACAGCATGCCTGTGGTGGACCAGCACCTGCTCTACACTTGCTGCCCCTATATTGGTGAGGATACTGGTCTCCCCTCAGAGGGTCTTTGGTCCTTGGCCTGTCCCTTCATGAGTACCCAAAAGGCACCCTGTGGGCGCAGCGCCCCAATACATTGTTCTGTTCTTAGGTGCTCCCTGGTGCCTCAGTCTTTCTATTCCCTAAATGCTTAAAAGTCAAGATGCTGGGGAGGGTGGGACAGTTCTGGAACTTAAACACTTGGGCTTCTCTGATGCAGGAGAGCTCCGCAAACTGCTCGCCTCCTGGGTATCAGGAAGCAGTGGACGGAGTGGGGGCTTCGTCAGGAAAATCACCCCCACCACCACCACCACCGGCCTGGGAGCCCAGCCTCCCCGGACCACCCAAGGGCTGCAGGTAGGGGGCAGGGCGGAGGCGGGGGCCCGCGCAGTGGAGAAGGGAAAGCGGGCCCTTCACTGCCCTGCCCCCTCCTCCCAACAGGCACAGCTGGCTCAAGCCTTTTTCCACAACCAGCCACCCTCCCTGCGCAGGACCGTGGAGTTCGTGGCAGAGAGAATCGGCTCGAACTGTGTCAAGCATATCAAGTGAGGATGAGTTGGGATTGGGAATGGAGGTGTTGAGGGTCCCCAGTCTCATTTCCTTACAATTCTCCCCTTTATAGCACCTTGTTGCCAAACTGAGGAAAGTCAGCTGAGGGGCGACGGGGGAGCGGGTGATAGAGGACAAGGGCCAGGTGGGACGGGGGGAGGCTAAAATTGCTGACGTTCTTTCAAGTTAGTTCTGACCAGGTTGCAGCAGGTTGAAGTTGCAGCCCCTTTCTGATTCACCCTTTCCAACTACCTCAAAACCTTGCTGTTCCTACTGCAGGGCCACGCTGGTGGCAGATCTGGTGCGCCAGGCAGAGTCGCTTCTTCAAGAGCAGCTGGTGACGCAGGGACAGGAAGGGGGAGATCCAGCCCAACTGTTGGAGATCTTGTGTTCCCGGCTGTGCCCTCACGGGGCCCAGGCATTGACCCAGGGGCGGGAGTAAGACGCCAGTCTGTTTGAATCCTCTCATCTCCACTCTCCTCTTAGTTTTACTTTCCTGTCCCTTTTTCCTCTTTTATACTCATCCTTTATTGGTCCTCTCCCCACCCTGCTTTTTTTGTGTTTTTGCCTGCTCTGTAGGCTCTTATCTTGGTTTTTAGAGGTTTTAGGGCCCAGAGTCCAGAGCTGAATTGGAAGGGCATCTGGGGTGGGGCCGGAGGGCTGAGGGTGCCTTCCCCTGAGGCAGAGCCCTTCCAGCTCGGGCAACTGTTGCACTTGGGGCGTTTCCTATAGTGGGCCAGGCTGATGCATCTAGATATCACTGACCTCTGTCTCCTTTCAGGTTCTGCCAAAAGAAGAGCCCTGGTGCCGTGAGGGCATTGCTCCCTGAGGAGACCCCGGCAGCTGTACGTAGGAAGGAGTCCTGGGGTTAGCGGGCTGGGCGGTTGGTGGTGGGAGAGGAGTGCTGCGGGGTTGTATGTGTGAGGCTTCTGGTGGCAGGTGGGTCACTCCTGGACTTGGGTATTCGTCATTGTCCTAACTTGCCCCTGACTCAGAACTTCTGTGTCACAGGTTCTGAGCAGTGCAGAGAACATTGCTGTGGGGCTTGCAACAGAGAAAGCCTGTGCTTGGTTGTCAGCCAATGTCACAGGTAAGGTCCAGGGAGGGGGAGTGGCTGACCAAGTTTTTCAAAAGTGGACTGGCAGGAAGTTGGAGGCCATGTGGGGGAGATAGGACTCAGAGCCAGCTGGTAACAGGGAAGGGCATGGGTTGGCATGGTGAGCCTGTGCAGGGCTGCTTTGATGACCCCTTTTCTGTCCTCCCTCTGACTTGCAGCACTGATCAGAAGGGAGGTGAAAGCGGCTGTGAGTCGCATGCTTCGAGCCCAGGGTCCTGAGCCAGCTGCCCGGGGGGAGCGGAGGGGCTGCTCCCGTGCCTGTGAGCACCATGCTCCCCTCCCCTCCCACCTCATCTCCGAGATAAAAGTACACAGCTCCCTACTCCCTTCGGCTCCCCTCCTCCCTCTCCCTGCTCTTTTCCTAGTCTCCCTCCTCTCTACCTCAACTCTAGTATTTGTGTGGCAGCTTTCTGTGTTGTGCATTTTGTTACTGAATGGGATTAGGTAGGGCAGAGCTGAATTGAACGGTTTTCGTAACTGCTGTTCTCTGACTTCTGTACTTGAATCACCCAAAAGGGTGAAAGGGAAAGGGGTAGATGTGAAAATTGTTGACTGAGTACACGTTACACAGATGATGATGGCAGTGGGGTAGGGAGTGGCTGTCCAGTGCAGTAGGAAGTCTCTAAGGAACAGTCATCGCAGTATTGGGATATGGTTTCAGAAGTGTTCTCCTATGTGGGAGGTGATGCTTGTTTAGTTACAGGCAATAAGAATAATCTATCAATGCTCTTAATTTGATAAAAAAAATTTTTTGGTACTGTCTAGAGCAGGAGTCAGCTGACAACCTGTGGGCCAAATCCAGCCTGCTGCTTGTTTTCGTAAATAAAGTTTTATTGGAACACAGCCATGCTTGTTCATTTACGAATTGTTGGGCTGCTTTTGTCCTCCAGCAGCAGAATTGAGTGATGGGGGCAGAGTCCTAAACTAGTGACCCAGATCTGGGGTAGTAGTGTGAGAATAAAGATTTGGAATAGGGACTAAAAAGGAATGACTAAAGGGCTTCCCTGGTGGCACAGTGGTTGAGAGTCCACCTGCCGATGCAGGGGACACGGGTTCGTGCCCCGGTCCGGGAAGATCCCACATGCCGCGGAGCGGCTGGGCCCGTGAGCCATGGCCGCTGAGCCTGCGCGTCCAGAGCCTGTGCTTCGCGGCGGGAGAGGCCACAACAGTGAGAGACCCACGTACCGAAAAAAAAAAAAAAAAGACTAAAATTAGAAGAGTAAGAGGGAGAAGAAAACTCTCAGCAGCCATTAGCTACTGGTTTTCAACATGCAGAGGATTTCTGTACTGAAACCTCGACTCTCCTGAGAAGATGAACAGAGAATCATGAGGGACAGAAAATAGTACGACATGTACACGACAGGACAGTTCCCTTGCATGCTTTCAGAATAAGATGCTGTCTGGGAATTGGCTAGGTATGACTGTCCCAAGATGAGTGCCATCTCTTGAGCTCTCTGGCAGCGCGTTATCCCTTGGCTTACCTGCTCCATCTGTTCGTTTGTTGTCCACTTGGTTGCTTCTCCCAGCTGTGCTGTCCTGCTCAAGCCCCAAGTCTAAGGGCACCTTTGCCCATTACTTCACCCCAGGGCCCTGTCTTCCTTTTCCTTCTGCCTCTTTCCACTGGCTGATCCCCACCCCAAGCCACATTCTCTGTGGCCTCCTTGTGGCCCTGGCCTGGCATGAAGCCTTACTCTGCTTCCACCCCTCTCTGCAGGATGTGCTCTCTTTGGCCGTGGGGCCCCGGGACTCTGAGGAGGGAGTTTCCCCAGAGCATCTGGAGCAGCTTCTAGGCCAGCTGGGCCAGATGCTGCGGTGTCGCCAGGTGAGACACGGCAAGATGCTCTTCTTATGTATCCTTGTCCAGCGTGTAATAATCAGAGCCGCATTGGCTTGGGGCTGCTGCTCTAAGGATGGTGCTAATGTCCAAGGTCTCCCCGTTTTTCCCCCAGTTCCTGTGCCCACCTGCTGAGCAGCATCTGGCAAAGTGCTCTGTGGAGTTAGCATCCCTCGTTGGTATGGCTCCTTTTTATCACATCACTCTCTTGCCGGATCCCCCAGTTCTCAGGGTGGGGTACAAGCAAGATTAGAAAACAGCTTTTTTCTACTGTGTCCTCCCAGGGCCACGTGACCCTGCCTCCATTTCTTAGAGCTTGGCATTCCTCTCTCCCCATAGTTGCAGATCAAATTCCTGTCCTAGGGCCCCCGGCACAGCAGCAGCTGGAGAGAGGGCAGGCTCGAAGGCTCCTGCTCATGCTGGTTTCCCTGTGGAAGGAGGACTTCCAAGTGCCGGTTCCGCTGCAGCTGCTGCTGAGGCCAAGAAACGTGGGGCTTCTGGCAGCCGCTCGGCCGAGGGAGGTGAGCCAGAGAGGTGAGGGGAGGGGGGCAAGTGGGCTTCTGAGAAGCCTCTGCAGTCGTGTTACTCCTACCATCCCCACCCCAAATGTTATTAGCTGGTTTAGTCCCCCTTTGCTGAGGCTGTGCTTATCTTTTCTTCCGTGCTCAGACTCCCTTAGTCTCATCTCGTCTCCGCCTCCTCCCTCAGCAGCTCTGCCCTTTGTATCAAGGTCACTGTGCAGTCCTCCTAGCCACCCTGACCTCTTCCTCTGTGTGTGTTGCAGTGGGACCTGCTGCTCTTCTTGCTCCGGGAGCTGGTAGAGAAAGGTCTGATGGGACGGATGGAGATAGAGGCCTGCCTAGGCAGCCTCCATGAGGCCCAGTGGCCAAGGGTAAGGAGTCCTCGTCTCCTTCTACCTGGATAGAGAACAGGTGTCAGATGTCCCTTTTATCCTGAAAGGGGGCAAGTGGTGGGGCCTGGCATTCTTAGGATCTTCCCAAAGCTCAGTGGGTTTTGTCAGATTTCTTGAGGACCACCCTGAAATGAAGTGGCTGCTCTGGGGGTCCTCTTTCACATTTAGGTATCTATTGTATGAAGGACTGTGTCCACGGAGGAAGGCAAGCTGGAAGGGGCAGATAGTTTATGGCATAGCGAGTGTGCGGTTTGTGGGGTTTTTTTTTGGCCATGCCACACGGCTGGTAGGATCTTAGTTCCACAACCAGGGATGGAACCTGGGCCCCAGCAGTGAAAGCGCCGAGTCCTAACCACTGGACCACCAGGGAATTCCCAAGTGTGGGTTTTTAAAATCAGAATAACCTGGATTTTAATCTCAGCTAGTCCTTAATGTTACTGTGATTTGGGACAAAGTAATTTTAGTTTCTTCATTCATAAAATGGGAATAATTTAGACCTCCTGGGGTTCTTCAAGATGAAATAATGTGCATATTAAGTACTCATTAGTGGTTCTGAGCTTCCCATTAGAGTTCACTCTCCCTGCTGGAACTTGAGCATCCTAGAGTACTAATGGGACAAGGTTTCCAAGTCCATTTCCAGGTAGAAGGCAGTTGGGAAAAAACAAAATAGGTTGTCTGGTTAGCTAGGGCTTGATATTTGGGATTGATTTTTAGTAAAAAGGGTGAATTGAACAATCTAGAACTGTGTCTGCCTTTTCTGTCATCTTTCTGCTTATTCCAGGATTTTTCTGAAGAATTAGCAACACTGTTCAACCTGTTTCTAACTGAACCCCATGTGCCACAACCTCAGCTAAGAGCTTGTGAGCTGGTGCAGCCAAACCGGGGGACTGTGCTGGCCCAGAGCTAGGGCTGGGAAGCGGCCCTACCTTGGGCATCTCGCCAGAGCGCTGGAACCCAGCCTGACTGTGCCTCAGGAGGAGGCCCCAGAGCCACCCCAAGTGCCCACCCTGACCCTTGCTGGTGTGGAAGTAGCTCAGTCTGTCATCAGGCTTCCTGCTCACATGTGAAGGAAGAGAGTGGCAGCCTGGCATCCCCGTGACTGTGGGCTCACCATCCCAAGTCCTAAAGGAAGCAGGAGGGGGTCACCCGATTCAGGATTATGGTGGAAGAACCTAGAGACTCCAGTCCTGGAGAAGAAGAGTTGGCATTTATTATGAAATGATGTGTGGGGGCTTGTCGGCACAAGATTCAAGCCCCACTTGCTGCTGTCCCAGCATCTCTTAGAGCTTTGTGGTTTGGGAAATCATGACTGACAGAGGGAAGTGACTTCTGCTTAACTTGTGAGTAAAGTTAAACATGAATCTTGGGAGTCTACGTCTTACCACCAGGAGCTGGACTGCCATCTCCTTAAAAACGTACAACAAATGTGGGGCTCGCCCAACAGAAACCTGCCTTTACCTTGCACCCCACCTGCCTTCAGTCCCGTGCAGGTAGTAACTTTTGACTCTAGCTCCATCCAGGGGCCAAGCACGGGCAGAACATTAGAGTTTTTTAAAATAAACTGTTTTCTTTACCAAGGGCTTCATGTCTAGTTATTTTCACCTTACTCGTCCCTGTAGAAGGCTGCAAAGTCTCAGGTGGGCTTGGAGGTGGGCATTGACAGGGTAGAGCTGTCCCATTGGTTGGCCACTTAGCAATGCCTAAATATTCCATCATGTGAGACCCTGCAGGCCAGAGAGCCTGGGGCCCTTGTTAAGCCACTGCCAACAGTATTGACTTCATTCAACTCCTTTAAAGGTTTAGGATGTGTGAAGTTTCTACTCACCAGATACTGCCCACTTGTGATGCTTGCTTCTTGGGGGGCTGGGGCTGTTTGATTTGGCTCAGAACAAAAGCATTCTACGTGTCTATAAATGATGCACCAATTTTGACTAAGCAAGCACTACCTTGATTGATAGTGCGCATTAAATTCACTCTTCTAAAATTCATGGTTTTTCTACTTAGGCAGTGTGCGCAGAGATTCAGTCTCTGTCAGGGGAAGGCGAGGGTACTCAGTGAACCCTCTTGAAGTGGCTTGCAAAATCTGTCTGTGCATATGTGTGTATTTCTTAGGAGAAAAGTTCCCAGCTGTCAAAAGAGGTCTCCAACCCATGGAAGGGTAAGATGCTCTGGGTCTAAAGAGGTCTGCTGTATGACTTTAGTAAAGCCAGTTGGGAGCCCTTACAGTAGGTCCCATCAGCACAGAAAGTTAAAAACGGGGGTGTGTCTCACCACTTTGTAATCATGCTTCTGCACAGTCAGGCAGTAATCATCCCTTCCCCTCAGCTCATCCTAATCAATAAGTTTTTGCATCTGAACCTTTTTTTCTTCGTCTCTTCATTTGTCCTTTAAATCCAATTTATGCTATAGCAAATTCTGGAAGTTCTGAATGCTTGGGAACCAAAACAGTTTTAAGAAATATTTTATCTTTCTGCACCCATCAGGTGTGGCTGAACGAAAGCACTGCCCCAGGAAGCTGAGCCCCGAGGTAAGCAGACACCCAGCTACTTCAGACACCCAGCTCCATGTGAGGTGGGACAGGCAGGCAAGCATGGAGGAAAGCCTGAAGCCCCAAGGATGCTGAGTTTAAAGCCCACTTAGTTAAACCGCACAGGCCCAATTCAGGAAACAACGCTGGCCCGTGTGAACCTTAAGGGTTTACTTTAGGCAGGCAGTAAGATAAGAAAGGAATTACAGAGACAAGCAGCTAACGAACTAGTGAACTCATTAGTATTTACGTTGTTTTCCATAGACCTGCTCTCTACCAGTATCAGTGGTTTTCAAAGTGTGGTCCCCAGACCAGCAGCCTCGTCATCACCTGCAACATCCTAGAAATACAAATATGTGGGCCCCTCTCCACTCTTCCAAATCAGAAACTCTAGGGTGGGGGCCAGCCTGGGGTGTAACAAGTCCTTCAGGTGATTCAGAAGCACAATAAAGTCTGAGAACCACCTGTCTTAACCAAAACCTGACTTCTCCTTGATCATTTGGAGTCAGGTCCCTGGATTATCCTTACCACCTCTGCATTTTACTGTAAGATCAGCCTCAGTTAATGTTCTTTAGATTTGCTGACTCATATGCCTGGCTTGTGGCTTCTCTAGTTTAGGGGATACTGTCACCTCCAGGCTAACCACCGTTCGGATTCCCATTGCTGGCTCTACCTCAGAAGCCCTAGAGGTGCATACCTGTTAAAGAGCTTCCTTCCAGGGGTCTATGGTCACCGTTGAGTGTGGCAGTGGAATCTGTTCTGGAATCCTCCCTCACGTTCATGTCTGGGCTACAGCTGGCCGTAGCTGGGCAACTTACCTGGTTGCTCTTTATGTGCAAAGCAGTGCTGAGCTCATGGGAAACACTCAATACACATGTGTAAACTATATAGCCTGAAACTGGGCCATGAGTAGTTACTGCCATCACAATCACCAGGCTGAATTCTGAGCCCAAACGACACACTTAGGCTATCCCAGGATAATCTTCACTGAATAAAAGTACACATTGGACTTTTAATTTGCAAGTGTTCTGCACTTTTCAATCAGTGGTCTTAGAGATTCATGTGAAGAGAGATGGGAGTACATAAATAGGGTGTTAAATATATCAAGTGTAACCAAAAAAATTAACCAGAAAAATAAGTTTAAAAGCAATCAAAAAAAAAAACTTCAATAATGTATAAATAACTTAATCTGAGGTAAGAGAAAAACAAAATCCTGCAGATACTTTTAGAAAAATAAACCTCTTCTGTACTATACAGAAATTTACCTTTTACCACATCTTCTCAATCCCCATATGGTCGCCCTCTCCCACCAAAGACTCTGGGCACCAGAACTGAAGCTGAGAATCTCTCCGACCCCTACACTTCAGGTAACCATACAGAATATTCAAAGCTCGAGTTCAGCCAGGCTAAGTTACAAGAAAACTGAACCCATTCTCCATCCCATCCTAGAATAGAAGGGGCTACAGCAGTGTGTGGAGTGCTCAAGGCTGGGACCAAATCTCTGAGTGAGGTAAGGAATGGATGTGCTTCCTCCTAACAAATCACTTGCCTCCTTCCAGGAGGTCCGTTATCTTCCCTCTCGTCTTCAAAAGACAGTTTTTCATCTCTGAAATGAGAGATGCCCACGCACCACCCCAAGTCCTCCTCAAAGAGCTAGGCCCCCACCCTAACCCCATATCTATCCAGCCAGCTTCTACAGTGGTCTTCCCATTCTTCTGAGCTCTGGAGTGGTGGCTCCATGACAGAGCATTACTCTATACTCCTTACTGGGGCCAAGACCCAAACAATTGTCTTCTCCTGTGAGGGAAAGGAAGAGGGGGGGCAAAGCAAAAATTAATAATAAAGCATTTTGTAAAAATTCAGGGAAGAGAAACAATTCTAAATCAGTGTTCTGGTTTGTGCAGCTGTTTTTTTAAACCGTTTTCTGTTTCCTAACACCCCATCCCACAGTGGAGCTGACTGCTGGAGCACATTTTGAGCAGAGTCTTGGCCAATGGCTCCTGCTTCCCTACCAGCCCCAGGGCTGCGCCGAACTAAGTAAGCACCATGTCGGAGCACTGCAGGCTCCCAGCTCTGCTGGCTGTGTCCAGTACTGATCCTTGAGTGGCCTGTATGCCATAGGGTCCCAGAGACGGGCAAAAAAGGTGAGAAATCCAAAAAGGTGAGTTGAACTTCATTCACTCTGGACAGCCAGGAGCTCAGGCCCCCTCGCTCTGCAGAGGTGCCAGCTGTGACCAAGTACTGACTAGGTTTCGCTGGCAACTCAGGGATGAGCGCTGTCTGCCCAGTTCGCCACAGCAGGTAGCCTCGGCTCTTCTTAACATCAGGATACAGAGAGTAACAAGAGCTGCCCCAGCATCTCTGGGGTGTCCTGGAGCACCATCTTGACCGTGAGATGCTAACTACCAAGGAAGGAAGCCAGTCTGGCTATAACCAGCGGCTGCTGTTTGATGAAGGAGCTTAGGAGCTGAGGGGGGAATCCTGGAGCACCAAGTTCTACCTGAAATAAACCAGAGAGGGAAGAGTTAAAGGTGCAGACAGACCCAGAAGAGTGCACCGGGGCACACTTCAGCCATAAGCAGCCACCCCAGGCTGCTGTGATTGGAGAGGCTCTGAACTGTCTACAGCCCTGTGCTCTGCTGTTCAGATCTAGGCAAAAGCTTTACTTCCCAATGACAAAAGGTCAAGTCAGGGAACTGAGGGTGCTGCTCTGCCTCACAATGACTCATCTATCTCCTGAGGACCCTGGGAACAGCCAGAGGATGTAGGCCGCCAGGCTCTGGTAAGAGCAGCTTCAGAAGAAGGTTGATCAACTCTGCCTCATTCCTTCCTGATTCCCACTGATTCGTGACCCAAGAAACCCTTGAGTCTCCAGCTCTCAGGCCACAGATCCTGGGTACTGAAGGATGTTGAACAGCTATACAGAAAGCTCCCATGGGGCTGGGGTCAAATCAAGGCATGCTGTGAGGCCAGCTGCACAAGGTGGATCACCTGGGCCAAGTAGATGACTCTGGTGATCTCCTTCCCTTCCACAGTGAGGGGCTGCAGGATCCAGGCACTGGGCAGGATCTCCCCTCGGACCATCTCCCTGCTGGGTCTCGGCATGGACGCATCATACACAGACTGAGCTGCCATGATAGACAGTTGCCCCTGGAAACAGAGCAATGTGAGTTCAGCCTACGTGATATGGGAGGGACAGGGACAAACAGGGACAGGCTCCAGTGCAGTCAGTACCGTGGAAGGCAACACTGGGCCAGCCTTCACCCCCACCCTGGCCCAACTTGCCCTCCTTCCCCCAGAGGACCTGATGCCCACAAAGATTGCTTCTCACAACACACCAGTCCAAGTTCCTCCCACAACATCTTTACCACCAGCAAGGCAGGCACCTCTTTGGCTTCCACGCAGACACAACAGAAATCCCGTGGCTGTTTCAGTGCACACAGGGTGGTATTGCACACCAAATACACTGGAGGGGCAGGGATGCAGGAAGTCAGAAGGTACATGGACAGACCGGGTTCTACCCTGTGACACCCCATCATTCCACAGCCTGACACCCCATTGGACCTAGCTGAGTACCCGGCCTCCTGAGAGCACTGCCTCTGACCCTGCTGCCTCTGTCCCCTGGGCTCACCCAGGCTGATGCTGTTGGTCACCCGCTGATGCAGCCTCGCTGTCTGGATGGGCTTGTGGTACAGCGGCCACAAGGTGGGGTCACTCACAGCTGCCCACACGTGAGACAGTGGCTGGGACACCACGCCAGCCCCCAGGAAGCCATGCCGAGTAGAAGAAAACACCTTGTAGTACAGATGCACGTCCTGCTCCTCGCCCTGAGGGCTGGGGGAGACACCAAGGGTGGGGAAGAGGAGGAGGGGATGAAAGCTGGGTTCTAGAGTCACAGGAAGAGCTCACGGTGAGGGACTCAAGGAAGCCGGGGTGGAGAAGGGAAAGGAGAGAAGGCGAGCAGGGCCACAGGGAGAAGACACTGTGCAAGGGAACTTACTTCCAGCCAGCTGCTGCCTGGCAGCTGAAGAGGTGGTTCAGATTATCTGAGCAAGCAGCCATTACCTGGGGACACAGTGACCACACCCAGATTAGTGGGCACAGTTTGTACAAAGCAGACTCTTGGATTAGTCCCTCAGGCCAGCATTTACTGAATTCCCCACTTTTGTAAAGATAGAGAGCTGCTGAAGAAGCCCTCATCTGCCCTGTTCCTTCCCTCCTCTTTCTTCCTCCCCACCCAGCAGAGTCGGCTACAGGAAACCTCACATCAGCCATAGAGATGTCCACGATGTGCTTGGCCAAATCCTTGTAGGAGGAGGAGAAGGAGGTCCCCAGGCTGGACAGGCTGGACGGAGAACAGCAGCAACTGCCCAGGGAGGCTCTGCGGCCTACAATGAACAGGTGGAGACTCTTGAGACGGCATGAGCATCAGGGCCTCAGGGCAGCAACGGCCTCCTTCAATAATAATGTCCCTCCTCCTGAGGGACAGTGGCTCCCTAGGATCTAGCAGACCTCAGCCCCAAAGTCCCCACACCGGGTAGGTAGCTCTGCCCCACCACTCACTGCAGGCTGAGGTTTTCCAGGCAGAGCCGGCCAGGTTCAGCTGACTGTTCCTCACTGCAGAGCGGCCCCACACCTCCCCTATCCAGGAGTCTCTGGAATCAGGCAAGTTTGTGTCCCCCTGCAGAAGAGAAGATGCTCAGGACCGGAGCAGAGGCAGGGAAAGAGCAGAACACCAGAAAGCCAGTGCAGAATTATCTCCTCTGCCTCTGAACAGCACCAAACAGCTTTCAACATAAAGGCTCAAGCGAAAAGGTGTTCCCTGCTGGATGCCCTTGAGAAGTCAACCGCAATAGAAACCAGTCCCCCTGGAGAGTTTCCTTGCCCTTCAAGCCACACACTCAAGGTTGCTTGTAGGAGAGTTCCAACAGGGATCAGAATGAACTGGGACCTGAGACGATGGGGTACCAGGGGTCAGTGAGTGGGGGGGCCCTCTGCGCCACTGCAGCAACAGGAATGAGGCCATGGCTGGAGCTCTGTTTAATGTGGGCAGCAAACAAAGCCCAACTGGGAGGTGGGAGGTGGAAGGTGGGATGGGGAAGAAAAGTGACGGGCTGTGAGAAAAGCTTGACCCTTGGCCCCATCCCCAGGTACAGCAGCTAAGCCAAAGGTCCTAATTTGGAACCAAATGGGGATGGATGATCCTCTCGATTTGCAATACAGCCACCACACCTTTACTACAAGCAGCTCCTCAATGACATGACCCTTGACCTCTGCTGGATCTAACAGGCATCCACTATCCTACCTCTATCATCGGTTCCTAACCTAGTGTTACTTTTAAAAAAAAGTGAACAAAGATATTCTGTCTCCATCCTTACGTCCTTTCTTCCTGCTGCAGCATCCAAGTGGTCTCTCCTACTTCAGGCAGATTGAGATTTTTGTGCCACCTTATCAAGAACCTTTCACTACTGATCTCTTTCTTCACTTATTGCCTCCACCTCTCCTTCTTCACTAGATTCTTCATATCAGCATTTAAGCATGCAAAAATTTCTCCCACCTTTAAAAACTTTCCTCTACAGGCATCTTTGCTCTTTTGTCCTTTACAGATAAACTTGAAATGATTGTCACCGTTTGCCATCTCCCACCTCTTATACCCTTCTGAATGCACTCAAATCTAGCCTTTGCTAGATCCATGTGCCTGAATGTGGTGAACAGGTCCCAGTCCTCATCTTACTGAGCATCTCCCTTTCACTTGCTTCCTGAATCCCTGGGATCTTGGCTTTCTGTCTCTCTGGGTGTTCCTTCCCAGTTTATTTTGTTGGCTCATCTTCCCCAAACATAAGTTGATTTATTGGGATTCTTTCAAGACTCGGGCCTAGGCCCTCTTCTCGCTCTATAATATACTCCTGTGTGATCCCATCTGTTCCCAGTGCTATACTGATGACTTCCAAAAGTAAATATGTGTGGATTAATCAATAAATATTGCGAGACGACAGGGTCACCATCTGAAGAAAAGGTTACTGTCAGACCCATTTCACACATCTTGCCAAAACAAATTACTTATGCTTTGTGGCTCAAAAATATACAGGGTGGGGGAGAATTTAATAATACTATGAGAAAATTTTTTTTTTAAATTTAATGATCTCATAGTGCAGAAATGCCTTCCTAAACAGGGCACAAACTCCAGAGGCCATGAAAGAAAAGACTGATAAAAACTAGATTAACATATCATAAAAACAACTAGGAAAAAAACCCACTGGCCTCTCAAATGGCAAAAGGATAACTGTCTTAATATAAGGAAAGGCCACCAAAAACAAAACAACCTAACAGAAATGGACCCAGTACACTGGCAGGCAGAGCAAAAAGCCAAAGGGCTCTTAAATATCTGAAAAGGCACTCCCATCTCAGACACAAGAGAATTGCAAATTAAAACTAAAATGAAATACTATTTTATGCCTATGAGATTCACAAAGATTGAAGGAAAAAACCCTTAATAAACACTGTTAAGCAGAAATGTGGGTAAGTAGGCACTTATATATTGTTATTTGAGAGTGTAAATAGGTATATTTTGAAAATATTCATCACATATTTTAAATTAAAAATACATATATCCTTTGACACCTAGCAATCCTGCTTCTAGGTATTTAATTACAGATATTCTTTCATTTAAGTGGCAATAAACATTTTCAAATATGAACTCAGAGAACCTAGAGAATATAGTGCCCTTGAGTCTTTCTTGAAGAAATTACAAGAAGAATTACTAGGGTAGAAAAAAGAATGTACGCCAAAGAACTGCAAATGAGCAGAGTCCATTTGATCTAGCATGAGAACTAGAACTCTGAATACAAACACTGTAAATAGTATAGAAATACTATAACAAAAGGTAATGAGAAAAAATGAGAGAAGGTGGAAATACACTGATTTCCTCATGTTTTACAGCCAGGGTGAAAAGAAAACTGCTAAATCAAGAAATAAAGACTATTTAAATATACAAAAGTAATGATGAAAAGAAAAGAAAGGAAAAAAAAAAGGCTTCCAAATTACCAGAAAGAAGACACATATACACCCCCAAAGCAAGGAAAACACAGACCACAAAGAAGTTAAACAAGATTTTTAGAAGCCAATGGAATATTCATGACCAAAACCCTCAAATATAAAAAAAAAGAAATTTTACTTTCTCTGAAATCATACATTCTCTCAACACATGGCAAACTTAAAAATTAGTAACAGGGCTTCCCTGGTGGCACAGTGGTTAAGAATGCACCTGCCAAAAAAAAAAAAGAAGAATGCACCTGCCAATGCAGGGGACACGGGTCTGAGCCCTGGTCTGGGAAGATCCCACATGCCGTGGAACAGCTAAGCCTGTGCACCACAACTACTGAGCCTGTGCTCTAGAGCCTGCGAGCCACAACTACTGTGCCCTCGTGCCATAGCTAGTGAAGCCTGTGTGCCTAGAGCCCATGCTCCGCAACAAGAGAAGCCACCATAATGAGAAGCCTACACACCGTAATGAAGACACAGCCCCACTCGCTGCAACTCAAGAAAGCCCACACAGCAACGAAGACCCAATGCAGCCAAAAATGAATAAATAAAAATAAAGTTCCCTTAAAAAAAATAACAAAATCAGAAAACATGGCCTTTCTACCAAAAAGTTTTGAAAAACTCTTAACAACAATTGGGTAAAGAAGAAATACAAGCTGAAATTTCAAAATTACTATAAAGCAAAGATTATATACAGATATATATCTATATCTGTGTCTATATCTATATATATCTCACAACTTGTGGGATACAACTAAAGCAGTGCTCAGAGGGAAAGTTTTAACTTCAGATATTTACATCTATGAAAAAGAAAAAAAATGAATATTATGAACTACATGCCAACAATTAGGTAACTCAGATGAAATGGACAAGTTCCTAAAAAGATACAAACTACTGAAACTGACTCAAGAAGAAATGGAAAATCTGAATAGACATTTAATAAGTAAATTTAGTAATCAAAAAATTTTTTAAATTCCCACAAAGAAAATTTCAAGATGGGATAGCTTCATTAGTGAAATCTACCAAGCATTTAGAGGAGAATTAACACCAGCTCTTCACAGTTCTTCCGAAAATGGAGGAGGGAACACTTCTCAACTCATTCTATGAGGCCAAGATTACCCTGATAAAACCAAAGACATCAAGTAAACTATAGACCAATATCCCTGTGCATTTAAACAAATAAATCCTAAGCAAAATAACTAGTAAACTGAGTCTAGCAACATATAAAGAGGATATATACCATGACCAAGTGGGATTTATCCCAGGAACACAAAGTTAGTTCAACATAGAAAAATCAATGTAATATATTAATAGAACAAAGGAAAACACCCACATGATCATCTCAATAGATACAGGAAAAAGTATTTAAATCCATCACCTTTTCATGATAAAAGCAATAAGCTAGGACTAGAAGGAAATCTCCTCAACTTGATAAAGATTATGTACGAAAACCCCACAGCTAACATACTTAATAGTAAAAACTGGATGGTTTTCTCCTAAAATCAGTAACAAGACAACAACGTCTGCTCTCACCACTTCTCTATTTAACATGGTACTCAAGATTCTAGCCAGGGCAGTTAGGCAAGAAAACAACAACAAAAGATCAGATATTCTATATACAAGGTCATATCACCTAAGGAGTCTAATAAAATAAAGTATTAGAACTAGTAAATGAGTACAGGAGACAACATCAATATACAAAAATCAACTGTATTTCTGTATAGTAGCAATGAGCAAACCAAAAAGGAAATTAAGGAAACAAGCCCATTTATAATAGCATCAAAAAGAATAAAATAGTTAGGAATAAATTTAACAACAACAAAAAAAAACACGAAAAATTTATACTCTGAAAACTATAAAACATTGTTGAAAATAAAGAAGACCCGAATAAATGAAAAGATATCCCATGTTCGTGAATTGAAAGACTTAATATTGTTCAGATAGCAACCCTCCCCAAATTGATCTATAGGTTCAATGCAATCCCAATCAAAATCCCAGCTGACTTTTCAGAAATTGAAAAGATTATCCCTAAAATTCATATGTACCGTCAAGGGACACAGAATAGCCAAAACAATCTTGAAAAAGAACAAAGTTGGAAGATATATACTTCTTGATTTCAAAATCTACCACAAACCCAGGGGCTTCCCTGGTGGCACAGTGGTTGAGAGTCCACCTGTCGATGCAGGGGACACGGGTTCGTGCCCCGGTCCGGGAGGATCCCACATGCCACGGAGCGGCTAGGCCCATGAGCCATGGCCGCTGGGCCTGCGCGGCCGGAGCCTGTGCTCCACAACAGGAGAGGCCACAACAGTGAGAGGCCCGTGTACTGAAAAAAAAAAAAAAAAATCTACCACAAACCTAAACAGTTATCAAGACGGTGTGGTATTGGCCTAAGGATAGATATATAATTCAATGGAATGGAATTAAGAGTCCAGAAATAAATCCACACATCTATGGTCAGTTAATCTTTGACTAGGGTGCTGAGACAATTCAATGGGAGAAAAGATTATCTGTCTGAACAAATGGTGCTGGGACAACTGGATATCCACGTGCAAAAGAAAGAAATGTGATCCCTAATTCTCACTATATACAAAAATTGATTCAAAACAGATCAAAGACCCAAATGTAGGAACTAAAACTATACAACTACTAAAAGAAAATATAGGCGTAATCTTTGTGACCTTGGATTGAGCAAGAGTGTCTTAGATATGAAACCAAAAGCACAAGCAACAGAAGAAAAAAATTAAAGTAGACATGATCAAAATTTATAACTTTGTGCTTCAAATGACACCATCAAGAAAGTGAAAAGACAACACACAGAATAAAGAAACTTTTTATAAATCATATAACTGATAAGGGACTTATACTAGAATATATAAAGAACTCTTTGCCTTAATAAAAAGACAACCCAATTAGAAAATGGACAAAAAATGGGAAAAGACATTGCTCTAAAAAAAATTTATAAATTTATAATAAGCACATGAAAAGTTCAACACCATTAACCATCAGGATGATGCAAACGATGAGGTACCACCTGAGATCCCACTGGGATGAATATAATTTAAAAGATGAATAATAACAAGTGTTGGCTAGGATGTGGAGAAATACATTGCTTATATACTGTTGATGGGACTGCAGAATAGTGCAGCCACTTTGAAAAACAGGCTGGCAGTTCTTCAAGTGGTGAAACAGAGTTACCCTATGATCTCAGTCCAACTCCTAGGTAAAACCCAAGAGAAGTGAAAACATGTCCACACAAAAACTTGTACATTAATGTTCACAGCAGCATTGTTCATAATAGGCAAAAAGTGGAAACAACCTAAATGTCCATCAACTGATGAACATACAAAGAAATGTGACAGTCACACAATGTGATATTATTAGCCATAAAAAGGAATGAAATTCTGATACATGCTACAAGTGGATGAGCCCTTGTCGTGGGGTGAATTATTGTCCTCCAAAAATGATATGTTGAAGTCCTAACTCCTGCTGTCTGTAAATGTAACTTTATTTGGAAATAGGGTCTTTGCAGATGCAATCAAGTTATGATGAGGTCCCACTGGATTAGAGTGGGCCATACATCCAATGACTGCTGTCCTTATAAGAAGGCCACACGAAGACACAGGTACACAGAGACACACAGGGAGAAGCCACGTGATGCCAAAGGCAAAGGCTGGAGTGATACAGTTACAAGCCAAGGAATGCCAAGGAAGTTATAGCCATACAATGTAACCTCAGGAAACAAGAAAAATAAACAACCTAAACTTACACCTAAAGCAACAAGAGAAAGAAGAACAAACAAAACCCAAAGTTAGTAGAAGGAAAGAAATCATAAAGATGAGAGCAGGAATAAATGAAACAGACGAAGAAAACAACAGAAAAGATCAATGGGGCTTCCCTGGTGGCGCAGTGGTTGAGAGTACGCCTGCCGATGCAGGGGACACGGGTTCGAGCCCTGGTCTGGGAAGATCCCGCATGCCGCGGAGCAACCAAGCCTGTGTACCACGACTACTGAGCCTGCACTCTAGAGCCTGAGCCACAACTACTGAGCCCACGCACCTAGAGCCTGTGCGCCGCAACAAGAGTAGCCACCGCAGTGAGAAGCCCGCACACCGCAACGAAGAGTAGCTCCCGCTTCCTGCGACTATAGAAAGCCCACGTGCAGCACAGCAACGAAGACCCAATGCAGCCAAAAATAACTGATTAAAAAAAAAGAAGTTACAACTAACTCCAGAGAAATACAAGGGATCATAAGAGACTACTACAAGGAACTATATGCCAGTAAAAGGGACAACCTGGAAGAAACAGACAAATTCTTAGAAAGGTACAATCTTCCAAGACTGAACCAGGAAGAAACAGAAAATATGAGATCAATCACAATTACTGAAATTGAAACTGGGATTAAAAAACTCCCAACAAACAGAAGTCCAGGACCAGATGCCTTCACAGGTGAATTCTATCAAACATGTAGAGAAGAATTAACACCTATCCTTCTGAAACTATTCTAAACAATTGCAGAGGAAGTAACATTCCCAAACTCATTCTATGAGTCCACCATCACCCTGATACCGAAACCAAAGACAACACAAAAAAAGAAAATTACAGGCCAATATCACTGATGAACATAGACGCAAAAATCCTAAACAAATACTAGCAAACTGAATCCAACAATAGAATTGTAAAAGGATCACGCACCATGATCAAGTGGGATTTATCCCAGGGATACAGGATTTTTCAATATCTACAAATCAATCAGTGTGATATACCATTTTAACAAATTAAAGAATAAAAACCATATTATCATCTCAATAGATGCAGAGAAAGCTTTTGACAAAATTCAACCCCATTTATGATAAAAACTCTCCAGAAAGTGGGCATAGAGGGAACCTACCTCAACATAATAAAGGCCATATATGACAAACCCACAGCTAACATCATAATCAATGGTGAAAAGCTGAAAGCACTTCCTCTAAGATCAGGAACAAGACAAGGTTGTCCACTCTCACCACTCTTACTCAACATAGTTTTGGAAGTCCTAGCCATGGCAATCAGAGAAGAAAAAGAAATAAAAGGAATACAAATTCGAAAAGAAGTAAAACTGTCACTGTTTGCAGGTGACATGATACTATACATAGAAAATCCTGAAGATGCTACCAAAAAACTACTAGAGCTCATCAATGAATTTGGTAACATTGCAGGATACAAAATTAATACATGGAAATCTGCTGCATTTCTATACACTAACAATGAAAGATCAGAAAGAGAAATTAAGGAAACACTCCCATTTACCACTGCAACAAAAATAAAATACCTAGGAATATACCTACCTAAGGAGGCAAAAGACCTGTACTCTGAAAACTATAAGATGCTGATGAAAGAAATCGAAGATGACACAAACAGATGGAAAGATATACCATGTTCTTGGAAGAATCAATACTGTCAAAATGACTATACTACCCAAGGCAATCTACAGATTCAATGCAATCCCTATCAAATTACCAATGGCATTTTTCACAGAACTAGAACAAGAAATTTTAAAATTTGTATGGAAACACAAAAGACCCCAAATAGCCAAAGCAATCCTGAGAAAGAAAAACTGAATTGGAGGAATCGGGCTCCCTGACTTCAAACTATACTACAAAGCTACAGTAATCAAAACAGTATGGTACTGGCACAAAAACAGAAATACAGATCAATGGAACAGGAGAGAAAGCCCAGAAATAAACCCATGCACCTATGGTCAATTAATCTATGACAAAGGAGGCAAGAATATACAGTGGAGAAAACACAGTCTCTTCAATAAGTGGTGCTGGGAAAACTGGACAGCTACAGGTAAAATAATGAAATTAGAACATTCTCTAACACCATACACAAAAATAAATCAAAGTGGATTAAAGACCTAAATTTAAGACTGGATACTATAAACTCTTAGAGGAAAACACAGGCAGAACACTCTTTGACATAAATTGCAGCAATATCTTTTTGGACCCACCTCCCAGAGTAATGAAAATAAAAACAAAAATAAACAAATGGTAGCTAATTAAACTTAAAAGCTTTTACACAGCAAAGGAAACCATAAGAAACAAAAAGACAACCCACAGAATGGGAGAAAATATTTGCAAGCAAAGAGACTGAGAAGGGATTAATCTTCAAAATATACAAACAGCTCATACAGCTCAATATCAAAAAAACAAACAACCCAATCAAAAAATGGGCAGAAGATCTAAATAGCAATTTCTCCAAAGAAGACATACAGATGGCCATAAAGCACATGAAAAGATGCTCAATATAGATATTGAAAAGATGCTCAATATAGATATTAGAGAAATGCAAATCAAAACTACAAGGAGATATCACCTCCCACCCGTCAGAATGGCCATTATCCGAAAGTCTACAAATAACAAATGCTGGAGAAGGTGTGGAGAAAAAGGAACCCTCCTACATTGTTGGTGGGAATGTAAATTGGTACAACCACTATGGAGAACAGTATGGAGGTTCCTTAAAAAACTAAAAATAAGACTACCATATGATCCAGCAATCCCACTCCCGGGCATATATCTGGAGAAAACCATAATTTGAAAATATACACACACCCCATTGTTCATTGCAGCACTATTTACAATAGCCAAGACATAGAAGCAACCTAAATGTCCATCAACAGATGAATGGATCAAGAAGATGTGGTACATATATACAATGGAATGTTACTCAGCCATAAAAAAGAATGAAATAATGCCATTTTCAGCAATACGGATGGACCTAAAGATTATCATACTAAGTGAAGTAAGTCAGACAGAGAAAGACAAATATCATATGATATCACTTATATGTGCAATCCAAAAAGATGATACAAATGAACTTTTTTTTTTTTCTTTTTTTTGCGGTACACGGGCCTCTCACTGCTGTGGCCTCTCCTGTTGCGGAGCACAGGCTCCGGACGCGCAGGCTCAGCGGCCATTGCTCACGGGTCCAGCCGCTCTGCGGCATGTGTGATCTTCCTGGACCGGGGCACGAACCTGTGTCCCCTGCATCAGCAGGCGGACTCTCAACCACTGCGCCACCAGGGAAGCCCCATAAATGAACTTATTTACAAAAACAGAAAGAGACTCCCAGACTTTGAGAACAAACATGTTTACCAACGGGGAAAGGTGGGGCAGGGGGGAAGGATAAAGTAGGAGGTTGGGATTAACATACACACACTACTATATATAAAATAGATAATCAACCAGGACCTGTTGTATAGCATAGGGAACTCTACTCAATATTCTCTAATAACCTATATGGGAAAAGAATCTGAAAAAGAATGATATGTATAACTGAACCACTTTGCTATACACCTGAAACTAACACAACATTGTAAATCAACTATACCCCAATATAAAATAAAAATTAAAAAAAGAATACACTACAGGGTCAGAAAAAGAAGAATAATGGGAACAACAAGGTCCTACTGTATAGCACAGGGAACTGTATTCAATATTCTATGATAAACCATAATGGAAAAGCATATAAAAAAAGGAATGTACGTATATGTATAACTGAATCACTTTGCTATACAGCAGAAATTAACGCACTATTGTAAAAAAGATATACATATTCTCAAAAGATACACATTTCCTTATAGATGTGCAGACTATCTCTGGAAATATACACCAAACTGGTTCTGGGGAGGCAAAAAGACTGAAAAATGCACTTGACATTCTATGTCTTTTGCTACTGTTTGAATATGTGTTTTTTTTTTTTTTTTTTTTACTATGTGAAGTTTTGCTTATAAAAGGAATTTCAGATTTTATATCCCCAGCCAGATCTTACCTCTGAGCTCCAGATCTGGATCCCAACTGCCTGATTTCCAGCTGCTCCCCTGCATTTCTCACAAGCACTTTCAACCTGGTAAATACCAAACTAGACTCATGATCTTCCCCTCAAAACCTGCCCCCTTCAGGGCTCTTCGTCACATGGACATCACCAGCCCTTCAAGCCCAAAGTGCATGTGGTTCTGACTCCTCCTGCTTCCAGCCTCCAACTTCCAATCGGCCCCTGCATCCTGTGGACGCTCTAGCCAGCGCATCCACATCTGCTCCTCCACTCAGGCGGTGCCCTGAGCCAAGCAACTGTCGTCTCTCACTCGGCTTTGCCAAGGTCGTGAGCGGGTCTACCCAGGGCTGCTCTTGCCACTTCTCTGGCAAGCTCGTCATTCTCCTCCCCACTAAAAAGCTTGTCAGCAGCTTTGAGAAGTAACATGATCAGATAGATTAGAAAGCAGCCAGAATTTTCAATAGCATCTACACAACCTTGCCTTTTCTAGTCCCTTCTCCTGTGATTCTTCCATCTCACTCTTTACATTCCAGCCACACTAACCTTCTTTTAGTTCCCCCAACTCCTCCTCCCTCACTTGCTGGGCCCTCTGCCTGGAAGGCTATTCTCCTGCCCCCCCACATATCTCCAGACACCAACTTTTACTGAGTTAACTACCTCTCGGCCTTCCAGTCTCAGTTTAAACACATTCTCTTCAGAGCATCTTTGCTGATCCTCCAGACTAGGTCAGGTCCCTGTTTCATCCGGCTTAGCACCCCTTCTTCACAGAAACTACTGCAACAATAATTAAATAATAAAATAAGCTGTTTAATATTTATCCCTCTAATAATCTGTTTAAGAACAAGAACAATTTTGCTCAGTGCCTAAAATAGTGCCTACAAAATAAACACTTGTTGAATGAATGAATGAGTAAACAGGGAGGGGAGACAAAAACCACAGGGAAGACAAAGGCCATCGTACAGGAGAAGGGCTCATGTCAGCAGTGGCCTCCAGGAGGCAGAACTTCCTCCCAAACTCTTGCCAGGGTGCTCCCGGCCCGATTCATGCTTGCATTTGCCTACTCACCATACTGTCTGGGGACTGGAGCTGGCCTGGCAAGGCCGGGCTGCTATTGTAGCCAGAGGTGACACCAGAGGAGAGACTTCCGTTGGAGCTGGTGCACCAAGAGCTTGAGGCGGCCAGGGTGTGTAGCTTTTCTTCTTCCTGGGAAGGACAGATTACTGTCAACCAGCTCCAGGTGCACCCTCACTTCCCACCCTCACTTTCACCCCTTTTCACCTCCCCAGTTCCCGTCACCTCCCACTGCCTCCTGCCTCAGCCTCATACCCCCATGCCTCCCCCATCCCCACCCCAACTATATACACAAGCCGCTTCCTCCCAGACTCTGGCCTGGGGACGGGAGCTGGTCTGATGAGGATGGCATGAAAATAGAGAGTGAAGCAGCTTTGAGCTGGCACCAGGGGCCCGACGCCCTCCTCCAAATTCTAAGTCCCAAGACTCAGAGGCAGCCCTGGTCTGCCCCGGGCTCCGAGCCTATCCTGAAATCAGAGGCTTGCCCCACTCCCCACCCGCAGCAGCTGGTAGACGATCTGCTGGCGGATTCTCAGCTTTTCCTGTTCAGTCTGCTCCCGCAGTCGGGCCCGGGCACGGGCAATCTCCACCTTGGCCTCCTCACGGGCCCGCTGGTATTCTCGTAGCATCAGCTCTATGTCAGAGGGTGGGTGAGGAGACCTTGACACTGACCGTGGGCTCCTGGGGAAGACCAGAGGGTTGGAGAGATGCCTTCTAACATGGTGAGTGGGCGATGGCCCAGGCCCGCTCAACACCACCTTCCTGAAGGACCCATCCTCTCTTTGCCCACAGGGCCTTCGGGTGTGGTCTTACAAACACCCCGAGGCTCAGGCCTGCAGTCTTACATAGCATGGCACGGCTCCTCTATCCACCCCCACCCCATCCGCCGCTCCCTCCCAAACCCTCCTCTTTCCCTTTGCCTCAGTCTCCACAGCCGCCGCCGACTGCCCACAGTCACGCAGGACCCACTCCTGGAGTCGCTCCTGGCAAAGGAAGCTGCAGCCTCCGGTGTCCAGGACGCTCAAATCCAGGCCCTGCTCCCCACACTCGCCCCACCCAGAGCCTGTTCCCCACAGGGTTCTGGGTCCACCATACCTGGTGGTCTCCACAACATCCTTCCTCAGCTGCTGCAGGTATTCTCGGCGCCTGCTGGGCAAGTCAAAGGCCCAGGTGGGGAGATCCCGGTTGAATGGGAAGCTCAGTTGTTTCTGGGGGCTGAGGCTTTGCGTCCCGCGGAAGTTTTGAAGTCGCTCAGCCCGCTCCCTCCAGAGGTTATCTGCGGTGCGTTCCGGCCTGAGACAGAACGTGAGTGAGGCACTGAAGCTGACCCTGACTGCCCTTCTCCATCTCCAGACCTATCTCTGACCCCCAGAAGGTCCCAGAGCTGAGCCAGGAGGAGGGAACGGCCGGCTGTCAGCCGGCTCGGCTCTCTCTCCTCTCCCCCCAGCCCTTGTCGCCCCACTCAGAGCTGGGTCCTTACCAGGCGTACGGCTCCTCCTCTTGGGCAGCAAGTGCCTCCCCCGTCCCGCTCTGCAGCACCTGCAGTAGGGCGTCTGCCTCCCCAAAGCCGTGGTGCAGTTTTGCTTCCGTGAGTTCCACGCTGAGGGAGAGGGTCTGGGCCCCGACTCGCAGGGGGATCTGCTCCCTCTGGGACCACTCGGGCGCCTGGCTCTGGTCCTCATGAGGTTGTGGGAGCCTCTGTCCCTGCTCTCCTGGGCTGCAATCGCATCTGGTCCCCAGCAAATCCATCACACCCAGCGCCCCAGGGGAGCTGTCCTGACCCCCACACCAATCGCTGGATTTGTTATACACCGGGAGGTCCCTCAGACCGTGGTGCTGGGGCTCAGGGGCCATGCATGTCTGGGAACTGGGGCACAGCCGCCCCTCAGGCTGGCAGGCCTCAGTTGGGCCCAAGATGCCACCCCGGAGCCCTGGGGTGTCAGCCAACTCAAAGAAAGGGCAGCTGCGGCGGCGCCAGAGGCCTCCCCACGAAGAGGAAATATTCAGAGCGGGCCGTGGCTCCTCTGGAGACACTGAGCTCTCACCCCCATTCTCTGTCCTGCACTGCCATCGACTCAGCCCCCTACTGCTCAGTGGGCCACACTCTAGGGAGGCCACGTCCTCAGGCACAAAGCCATCAGTCAGCCTCCGGCTCCTGCTTCCCGGTGGTGGAGGCGACAGTCTGCTCTGGACCCCAGTGGTGGTCCTGGGCTGACGCCCCTGCGGGGCCTGCTCCACGCAACGGACTTGGGGCTTTGCGCTCTGCTCTGGGTGGCCTCGGGAGCTCAGCCCAAGGGAGCACCTGTAGTCACCCCCTTCTAAGGGACTGCTACCTTCTCCACACGGAGCCTCCACTCTCTGAGAGCTCCCTGACCCATCAGTGGTTTGAGAATAGTTCCCCACTGCAGCCCTCGGGGCGCCCAGGGGAAGGCCTGGGCGGGAGACAAACTTCTGGCAGCCTTCAAGGGAATGAGCTGAGGGGGCCGAGAGAGACAAAGCGCCTGGGGGGTGCCCTGACCCTTGGGTGCTGGCGCTAAGCGTGAGGATCGGGGAGGAGGCCCTGTCCACCAGCAAGGCGCTCGTGGGGCCCTGCTCCTTCCGCACCCCGGGCTCCTCCACAGGCTCCACAGTGTGGGGACAGGGCCCTGGGGAGGGAGATGCACCGAGGCTGCGGCCGGGGCTGCCATCAGCCAGGCTGGGAGGCAGGGGGGCAACCAGAGAAGCCTGGGGGCTCAGAGGATGCAGGTTCTGCCCAGGGGGAACTTTCTGAAAACTCAAGTGGGATGAGGGTACGGGGGCGCTCCGGGGCCTGCAGAGGGTGCTTTCTTCCTGAAGATCTCGGGGCCCTGCTATTTTCCGTGCAGTCCCCTCTGCCCCTCTCTTCTTAAGCGTCCCGGGGACATGTCCCTTTTCCTGAGATGTGATGGAAAGATCTGAGCCCAGCCTTTCAAGGACCGCATTGACTTTCTGAGGGTTGGCCTCTGGGGCCTGGAGGTGCAGAGGTGGTGAGGCCGGGTCAGTCTGGATGCCCTCATCCATGGTGGTCTGAGTACAGCCGTCCATCTTCAGTGCCTGGGGCACCTCACCCAGGGTCTCCCTCTTGGCATTCCACTCCTTTTCGGCCACACTTGGCTGGGAGAGGCTCCCCAACAGCTCCGAGGTGCTGTGCAGGAGCTGCGAGAGGCGGAGAGACAGGTTGTGCATGCTGGCCCAAGAGGCCAGATCCGACTGAGCAGAGGAGAGGTCCGCGTGGCTCCAGTGGGACCTGCAGCCCAGAGTCTGGGTGCCCTGCTCCACGGTGTTCATCCTGGACACACCCACAGGGCCACCCTCCTCTGATGGGTACAGCAGCATAATCTCATCCACCGGGCCCGCAGCACTTCCTCCAGCCAAGGGAGGCTCCCTCCTCAGGCAGCCTGCCTCATCAGGGGTGCCTGGGAACCCGCCTCTCTCGTCAGGACCCTTAGAGGGGGCTGCCCCTTCAGAGCTGATCAGGACGTGGGGGCTCCCCAGGGCAAACGAGGAACCCCAGACTCCCCAGGCCTCACGGGAACGGTGGGCACTTTCGACGAGGCTGCGTGTGCTTGACAGGCCTCGGGCACTGGCCAAGGTGCTGCGGTGGGAGTAGACCGGGGAGCCCCGGTCGTCTAGGCCGTCGTCCTCACGGGAGCACCGGTCCATGTCTGACGGTGTCAGGCCCTGGGGTGTCGGGCCACGGGAGACACCAGCTGCGCCGCCAAACACATATTGCTTCCAGCCAACATGCGCAGGCCCCTCGGGACGCCAGGGCAGGGCGCAGGGATCGATGGCGCTGGAGCCAAAAAGCAGGGCTCCTCCGCCCGCCTCAGAGCACCACACCTCTGGCCGAGCCTGGCCACCCAGTCTCTCTGGCTTTCCTGGCTGGGCCTGTTCCGGAGTACCAAATAGCCGAGCAGCCATGAGATCGGGGGTCGGCACGCACGACACAGCTGAAGTCACCGGGGAAGGAGGGGGTGTGGACGGCAGGGGCCTGGGATCAGCAGCGATGCCGTCCAGGTCAGAGGCGGCTTCCTGATTGCAGCCCTCAGCTTTCAGAGACGTTCTTGCCGCAGACTTTCCTGAGAAACAGCCTCTGGGATGTGGGGTCCACAATCTGCTAGGCTCCTGTATATCCTCATCTGTCGGGGAAGGAGGCTCCACGCTCAAGCTTAGCTCCTGAAGAGACCGGTGAGAGCTGACCACAGAGAACTGCGGTCTAGAGTGTTTGGGGCCAGAGACGATGGCGATCACAGGAAGTGAGCACCGGTGGCAGGGTGCCGGCTGCTCCCCGCCAGAAGAGGGCTGCCCGGGGCCCTGGGCCACAGGCCAACATGATCCACGTTGCCCCAAGGGGACAGTGGCTGAGTCTCTGAAGGCTGCAGGGAGCCTGGCCACAGCCTCGTCCTCTCTGCCTGCACCTCTAATCTGACAGCTGCCTGAGCCACCTTCATCAGCACATGGGGGGCTCCTGCCCCGGGCAGCATCTTCTCGGCCACCTGAAGCCTGGTCTCTCTGCTGCTCTTCCTCCTCCCAGGGGCTGTCAACCTGGGGACCGGAGACGCACTGTAACTCTGCTACCAATTTGGCTTGGGGATCCAAGCCACTATGATCCTTGGACTCCGCGGAAAGTTGCGGCTTTTCTGGAAGGCATCTGATGGCATTTCCCAAACATCCATGTTGTGGTCCCACCGGCAGCTCACTCGCAACACACCGTTCACTTAAACTCAGGCTGTGTGGTCCCCCAGCTATTGCAGGTGGTTCTGGCTTGGTTTGAGAGCCCTGTGCACTCCGGCCACCAGCGGAACTGTCCTGAAACCTCCCGGGTAGCTCAGAGCAACTGCCTGCATGGAAAGGGGGAGCCTCAAGCTCGGCGCTGACTTTCTTCTTGCCAGCCTTTTTCTCAGGATCCCCTACTGACCTGCAGCTTCCATCAGCAACCCAAGGGCTGAGGGGACTTGTCCTCACATCAGGGGCGGAAGGGGAGCTGCAGCCCTGAGCCGGAGGCAGGAGAGCGGCAGCAGAGGTCTCCGGGGTGCTGCCATCTACCGGCCCCAACTCCACATTAATGCTTTTGGGCTCAAGGCCATGTGCCCAGAGAACATCAGGTTCCCTGCAATGGCCCTCTCCTCTCTCCACCCCCCAGGCCCTGGGGGGGACCATGCAGGGTGGGTAGCGAGTATGTGGGGTCGCCTCAGAAGCCCCCTTGCCCAGGTCACCGTCTCTGTAACAGAGTGAAGTGGAGGAAGGGGAGGCATGGGCCTCGGAAGCAACGGGTTGAGGGTTGCATGGCTGCCGGCAAGGATGAGATCTGCTGTCTGCTTGGCCCCCGGACGGGCTGAGGGTCCTGCTGCCTTCAGTGCTCCCCGAAAAGACACCACAGTCTGAAGTTTCCTGCGGGCACCTGCGCAGGGCCTCCTCCCTAACTCCTCCGGGTCTCTGATCTGGCAACAGAGTTGGCCTGGGACCTTTGACGCTGGCCCTGCAGGCTTCTGCTAGCCTAGAGCCAACACTCCCCTCCCGCTTCACAGGCTGCTGAGAGGGAGCTTCCGGTTCAATCCCTCCCGGGGCTCTGGGAAGGACAGCACCCCATTTGGGACTCGCCTTCCCTTCTTCTAAGCCGGTGGAAGCCTCAAGGCATTGGCCCTGGTCTTGGTTAGGCCCTGAGAGACTGGCAGAATTCTGAACATCACAGATCACAAGGTGACTTTCAAAACAGGTTGGTTTTCCTCCTTGTGCAGCCACTAGGAAGTTACCAGGACCTCCTCCCCATGTGTTGTCCAGAGTCCCAGGTTCTTGGTGGGCTGGGCTGCTCTCCTGCCAGCCAGGGAGAATGCCCTGGGCAGCTTCCCAGGCAGCAAACGGGCCTCGCCTACATGGAATCCCTCCAGCATCATCAAAAGGGGCCTGAGAAGGTAAGGCAGCCACTATTTCCTCCACCATTACCCTCCTGTCCTCCTCCACAGCTGCTGAAAAAGGAAGACTGTCTGAGCCCAAAGCATCAGCAGAGGAAGGTGTTCTGGTTGCTTCTCCCTCTTTCTCTATGATTTCAGAAGAGCTAGTGTGATGCACAAACTGTTCACCGGCTCCCAGGAAATGTCTCAGTTTTCCGGTACAGTGACTTTTACCTGGAGCAGGGTCAGCGTGGGAGGAAGTCCGTGAGGGGTGCTGTGGCCCTGTGTTAGTGTCAGTGCTGGGAAGAGGGTGACAGCTGTCTGCAGAGGGGTGTGTGGCCTGAAGGACAGATGTCCTCTCATCACTTGACAGGTGTCCTGGTTTAGCAGAGAGAGACGCCACATGAAATCCCCGTGCTTCACCCTCATTTCTGGTCCTGGCTGACACTGACTGGCCCATTTGTGGACACTGAGGCCTGCCAGGGGCCCCTGAAGAACATTCAGGTCCTAATAGCATCTCATCATGAGGAAGGACTGTGCCCCCAGCCACCATGTTGTGAAGCTGCTTCCCCTGGGCCTTTGCCTGTCCTATCTCCTCCAACTCAGCCAGGCACGTGGGTGGATGGGCAGAGGGCTCCGGCTGAGGCAGCCTTGGCAAGGACACAGGTGCTGAGAAAGCACCACTGGCAGGACTGAGGTCCTCGGCCTCCTTCTCTGCCTTTTGCCTCTCCCCGCTGCCTCGCTTGTCCCCCTCTTCTAAGGGGCAGCTGGCCCTCCTTTCAAGCAGGCTAGAGGCCCTGTTCAGGGAACTGGCTCTGTCTGGTCCTCTTGGTACAGCTGCCTCAGCTTCGGAAGGAGAACCCACCCTGCTACCCAAGCCCAGCAAGGTGCTTCTGAGGTCCCCTCCGTGGCCTTGCGGACCGGTGCTTGTTGACCTCCTGCCCTCTGCCCCCAGGGGAATGCTCGCTGGTGCACTAGATTGACGGCGAGATCCCACAGCCATGGATATCACAGACCCACACCAAGCAGGGTGTGCCGTGGAGAAGCCCTGTCTATCGTCTCCGTGCTGTGGGCTGTGGCATCCGGGCTCTCCACTCTGGTCCTGACACCCCGCTCCAGTTACCAGGGGACTGGTGGGCATTTTCAACAGGGTGGGATCCAGCACATAGTCAACAGAAGAGATGCCTAGAGTACCAGGTACATAAAGATAGGTTCTTGGCGGCCTTGTTGAATTCAAGGGCAAGGCGTTACTCAGGTCTCGGCGAGGAGCCATACAGGACCCTGGCTGGCTTGGCAATGGGTCAGTCTCTTGGCTGAAAAATGTGCACACACAATGCTGGCACGGGCCAGGGAGTTTCTGAGTTAATGAAACCACTTTGTTTTTCTCCTGTAGGCTCCCTCTTTGCACAGCCGTTTCTTCAACTCTGCCTTGAACTTCCGGCTCCTCTTGCTTAGAACTACGTATGCGTTTGGCAAAATGGCTTTCCTGAACACCCTTCACAGTCTCCAGCTCCTCGAGACTTCCCAAGCCACGGGGCGGCCGTCTGGGGTACACTGCATTCACCAGCTCGCCCTCCTCAGAAGTCCTCTCAGACATGGGCTGCAATGGCAGAGCTCCAGCCGAAGCTTTTGTTTTCCTTGGATGAGCAGAAGAGTTGGTGCATTCTCTGCAAACTGTAAATGTCCCTAAAGAACCACCAGTTTCCCTGGCGGGTCTGTCTAATACAGCTGGGTGGGTGTGCCCTTTCACAAATCTGATGTCGTGTACCCGGGGATCAATGCTATTGTTAACCTCCATTCGTCCAGCTTCACCACCCCTAAAGATAACATCATCTTTCCATTTTTGAGAAGATGGCTGATCCTTGAAGGACAGGTGGTTTCTAAAGCTGCCTGCCCTCAGCACATGGTCAACCATCTCCTGGTCCTTCTGGTCCTGGAACATAAACTCCTTCCTGACTCCCAGTGTGTGGGAAGCATTTAGCTGCTTACTCTGTTTGGGGTCAATTTCCAAGATGCCATTTTCCAGCTGCATTGCACTCCTAATTAGCCTAGCCATCTCATCAGCATTATTATCTCCTTTACTCCGCTTCTTTCCAGGAGGTTCTTCTTTGGGGTTTAACGCTTCTCGCACCTTTCCAGGGACCTTGCATTCACCGAGGTTTCTTTCCTGAAAGCACGTAACTGACTGGAATCTTTCATACATGGACTCTGCCTGTGGAAGCCTAAACTCTTCTGAGCCATCTTTGGGATGGAGCGCTTTTCCAGGAAGCCCAATTTCATTCCTCCTTTCCCCCTTGTGGGTTGGACTCTCATCCTGGGCTGCTGTCTCTGGGCTGCTTACTCTATGAGGTACTGATCTGGACTTCAAAGAGCGAGCGGCTTCCTCTATCTTGTCCTTGTCAAGGCCTAAATTGATGGTTTTATAGATGAAATCAGACCTGACCTCGGAAGGAAACCGTCTCTTCATGTCACAGGCCGGGGTCTCTCTGAGGACGGCATCCTGCCCCTGCTCTTCTTCCCCACTCGTCTCAGATTCACACACCAGGGGAGGCTTCCTTGACCCAGCACTGTCTGAGGAGACACTGCAGTAGGACTGTACAGTAGCCTTTTCTCCCTGCTTAAGCACTGGAAGACTGTGTTTATTTAAAATGCCAACTTGATTTTCAAATTCACATACTTTTATGCTGGTAGATGGAAGAAAATGTCTGTTCTGAGTGACAAAAAAATAAACTGAGTTATGGCTTTCTTCTTTAATGTTTCCAAGGCATTTCCCTTTTTCCCTGCAAACTTCCTTGGTGTTCAGGTCAGCTGGCCTTTCTGCCATGACCTGCTGAGACGATGCAATCTTGGGATTCTGGTTTTGTAACAGCGCTGGCAACTTACTCTTCACATACACATTTTGGAGGACTTGGTGCTCATGTCCAAAGCCCCATGCTTCCCTGGGAGGGGGGGAGGGCGCCCCTGCTTCTCTGCAAGCCGGGATTTCCAAGGCAGTTTCTCTTAGGGCATCTCGGCTTCTGGTCACATAGAATGTTTCCAAGGGAGGTGGCTGCAGGGAAGATGGGAGTGGATTCCAGGGAGCAGAGTGGAGGTACAGCTCTGGACCTGAAGGAACGGCAAAGGAAAACCTGCTGTGTCTTCTACCCACTTCCTTGGAGCTCTCCTGGGAGTCTGTCTTCTCTTCCTGCGGGAGGTGGTGGCTGTTCTGACCTAATTGGCCCCCTGGGTCTGCACTATTCTTCCTCAAAGGAGCCCAGCCTCGGGGCCAATGGGGTTCTTTGGTGTCTATGGTGACAATATGGTGACAAGCGTTCGTTAGGATGAAACATTCATCAGAGGACATCATGAGACCAGGTTTCTCGCTACTCTGAGAGGCTTCTTCCAAGCTGCTCTCTTTGACTCCCCATGCTTCCATCACGGGATGTGCTGTCTTGTTCGCTGCTGTAGAGACGTGCACATTTGTAGTTCCAGAAGTCGATGATTCTATGTCCGCTGAATAAGTTCCACTATGACTCACCTCTTTCTCATTAGCTGTAAAGAAATCTGAAGTACCTTCTACCTCGACACACAGACTGTCCTGTTCTTTCTCAGCTCTCAGACGCCTAATTCTGGACAGATGGATAGGAAAGTTGTTGAAATCCAGGCTGCTAGATACCCTAGGACCAATTGGCAATAGAGCATCTCCTCCCCTGCCAGAATCTTGGGTCAGGGAACCAGAGTCTTCCTCGAGGGAGGGCTTTCCCTTCCCTCGAGGAGGAAGACTGGGTGCTCCTGTGGCCTCCAAAACAGGATGAGACAGTTCAAGGAGGTACTTTTGCTGAAGGGCAGCCCAGTCTCTCTCACAGGCACTGCCAATGTAAGTGAATGAGGTGGCAGAGGCAGCCAACAAGCTTGACACACTAGAGTCAGATGCTTCAGAGACGCCCTTCTGGGCCATGTCAGGGACCCCTCTGGCCTGAAAGGTGCCATTGGCTCCTGGCTGAAGAAGCCTGTAAGAACCCCAGAGGGACACCCTGGTCGTATCAGAAACAGGGACTGTGTACACACTTCTGACACTGCAGGGTAGCTCAGCACTGCCCAGGGGCAGTTTGGAGCTGTAGGACAGGACTGTTTCTGTATCTGATGACTTTAGTTCTTCCATATTGGGCCAGTATCCAGGCCTCTCCCAACCGCAGGGCTGAACATCCTGGACGTCAGGACTTGGACATAAAGAACCTGGGGGGCTACTGGGACTGTTCTTGGAGTCACAGGAGAACCAGGAATCCATGGACACCAGAGGGCTCCCTCTTGAAAGCTGCACATCTTGGAGAGTGTTGGTTTGTTCTGTGGAGCTTGCCTCCACCGCCAACTCTGGCTGCTCACAGCGGGGCTGGAGCTCCAGGTAAAATGAACTGCTCACTGGCAGGGCGGCATCCAGCCTGGCTCCTGTTCTGTGGCTGATGGGGCCAGGGCTGCACACTGCCTCCTGGTCCCCTGCGGGCAGACTGGAGCTCTGCAGGCGCCAGAAAGTCTCCGTGGGCATCTCGTCAGCTGAACGGAAGAAAGGCTCTTCTTGTTGATCGTCCCCCAGTTCTTCCTCAGCGTCAACCAGGCTGTCGAGGGAAAAGCTCCTGTGAGTCTGGGTGAACAGTCGACTGTCTGAGGATGTGGTGAAGCCCCTCACAGAGGCTTGAGCTCTGGCCCTGAAGTGGCCATGGCCATGGGTGAGAAAACTGAGTGCTGGGCTGTCCTGTGGGCTTTGGTACCCCTTCTCGGCCAGCGAGTCCTCAGATATTTGGCTGTCTTCGCTGTCGGAGTCATCTGTCCCTGGGAGATCCCGCTCCTTCCCCTGGGGCTCTTCCAGCTTCCATGGCTCCAGCAGGGCTTTGGCACAGACACAGGACAGAGAATCTACTGAGTAACTGCTATCTGCATCAGATAAATCACCACCTTTTTCTCTCACAAGATCCTCTACGGGGCTGGAACCTGTGAGTGAGGCCGTGGTGTCTGGGTCCCCCGCACTGTGTTGCCTCTTCAAAGGGCTGCTGTGAGGCAAGCGAGAGGACTTTTCAACCCTAGCTGCCAGGACCCTCTGCTGCCTCTTTGATGCCCCGCTTGGAGAAGGTGGGGTGGATTCTGCCCAGAAAGTCTTGGTCTTTCCACGCCCAGTGGCTTGTTTGGATCCATGGGGATGTGAGGAACCGCAACTGGCTCCCTCAGCAGCCTCATGGGGCCCAAGGTTCCCTTCTTTTCCCCACCCTGCAGGTGAGTGGCCTTAGCCCTCCTGGTCTGGGTGGAAGGGGTGAGGACCTCCAGCTTATCCCATGGCTTTAGCTTGTTAGCTGCGAAACTCTGGGCCACCATCTGACAGGGCTGCTTACCCACTCTCTCCATTTCCTGGACACTGGCAGACTCGCAGCTCTCAGTGAGGCAGGTGCCAGAGGGTGAGGCTCCCTTCCTGGCCAGGGCCTTCCTGGCTGTGCAGAGCTGCCCCTCGCCTGAGGAACGGAGGGCATGCTTGATGAAATGCCCTTTCCTTGGGGGGTAATAAGCAGCCTGGGGCAAGTACTCTTTTGATGGGGTTTTCTCTGATAATTGCTCAGTAGGGTCAGGCACAGGAGGTGACGTGGTGGAGGGATCCCAATTCAGGAAAATACTGTGGAGACAAGGAAAGCCATCTCAGAAAAGTAAGAGGTCCCTACTTCCTGCTGAGAGAAGGAATATAAAGTCCCACTTAGTTTGCTCTGAAAGAGGTTTAAAACTAGGCCAGGGCTTCCCTGGTGGCGCGGTGGTTGGGAGTCTGCCTGCCGGTGCAGGGGACGTGGGTTCGTGCCCCGGTCCGGGGGGGTCCCACATGCCGCGGAGCGGCTGGGCCCGTGAGCCACGGCCACTGGGCCTGCGCATCCGGAGCCTGTGCTCCGCAACGGGAGAGGCCGCGGCAGTGAGAGGCCCGTGTACCGAAAAAAAAAAAAAAAAAAACTAGGCCAATGTCACTGTCCCCTATAGCCTTCAGGGTCAGCTCTATAAGTACATAAGGAAACTACAGACTATAGTCTTGGCTCTCAAAGAAGCCCCAGGTACACTCTGTTCCTCATTTTCTTTATCTTACAAAAAGGATGAACTGAATCTGGATCTAACCACGCCTTTAGGGAAAATTTCCAACATGAGGAACTGAAGAATAACTTAAATGGCACTACAAGGAATCAAACAGACAAATCTATAAAGGGGCACATTTTACAGAATTGATCCGCTTTCTTTAACAAATCGACGATATGAAGAAATTTTTAAAAAGCATGATTAAAAGAAACTTAAAAGACATAACAACCACATGCAGTGTGTAATTCTACTGGATCTTAACTTCAATTAACTATAAATATATATTTTGAGGCAATTAGAGAAATTTGAATATGGTCTAGGTTTTTGATTATACTGAATAATTAATCTTAATTTTGTTGGGTGTGATGACAATGTGGTTATAAGAAAACTTATTTTTCAGAAGTGTATACTTGTAGGATTGAAATGACATCATGTCTAAAAGTTGCTTTAAAATGCTTCATCAGAAAAAGGAAGGAGGGGAGACAAAGCAAGCATGGTAAATCTTGACATTTGCTGAACTGACAGGTACACAACTCTCTCAACTTTGTGTATGTTGGAAATTTTTCATAATAAAACTTAAAAAAAAAAAAGCCTGCCTCTCTCAACTTTGTGTATGTTGGAAAATTTTCATAATAAAACTTAAAAAAAAAATCCAACCTAGTACTCTAAAGACCAGATTGGTAAGCAAACATAACAGTAATAGACATTAATTGGGCACCTAATATGGGCAAGGCCCTGCGCTAGGCCTGGAGGATATAAAGAGGTAGACATAGTCCTCTGCTCCAAGCAGTCTGGGAGATAACATATCCTCACCTTGACTGAATGTGAGGAGTGAAGGAGAAAAGAAACAAGGAGGATCCCAAAATGAACCCAGGAGTCAGAAAGAGAGTGTTTCACTTGCTCAGCATGGTAGGTGGGCTGGGAAACTGACTGGAGCCAGCAGGTCGGGTGGGAGGGGAGGGGAGGGAGGAAGAGTGCGGTCTGAGGCAATATGAGACAGAGTGGTGGCAGGAGACACACAAGGAGACATATGTGGGTAGTCAGGGTCTAGAGCACACGGAAAATGAGGCTGAGATTCTCCCTCAGCAGACATGATCAAAGCAGCAAGAGCTGCCCCTCAGAGTGGGGGCAGGGAAGATCTTAGAAGACATCAACTACAGAGAAAGAAGAGAGAGATCAGGAGAAAAAGTGATGAGGAAGAGAAGAGTAGACACATCTTTCCATTTCACAAATGGAGGAAATTGAGGCCTCAGGAAGTAAAGATCGCTGCCCAGGCAACAAGGCTGTAAACCTCAGCCAGTGCCCCGAGGCGGCCTCCGATAGCTGTACCTGTGCAGTTGGGCTGAGTGCCGGCTGCAGGGCCTTCGGTGGCTCAAGGAACTGCAACTTGTCAATCTGCTTCTGCGTTGAGGCCCGGGGACCAGGGCACCAGGGCAGGGGGCCGGGAAGGGGGGCCTCCGGGGGCAGTCATCCTGGAGCCAGCACAGCGACCTGAGCTGCTCCGGTCTCCTGTGGGCCTCCAGCAGCCTTGGCTTCTCGATGGTCCTCTTCAGCTGGAACGAGACCCTTCTCTGCCGGCCGTTCCGCTCCGCCACCCGAAGCGCGAGTCCCCGCAGGAGCTGCGGGTGCACCACCCTCTTCTGGCTTTGGACCAGGGGAGATGGCTGAGTCTCAGGGTCTGTCTGGCACCATGAATCAGATGGAACAGCGGCTGCACGTTCTTTCTCTTCTACACGGTCTTGCTGCAGCTGCTGGTGCAAGCCGGCCGGCCAGGTCCCTTCTCCGAGTAGCCACTGCTGGTCTGAGAACGAAAAACACCCTGAGAGAAGGTCAGCCCGTCCTCCCTCCCTGGACTCAGGCACCTCTGGCCACGGCTGCACCTGCACAGAGTGAAGAGCTGGCCAGGGTGACGTGGCGGGATGAGGGCCACATGGCCCTCTGGGGCAGGAGTGCCGGGCCCCCTGACCACAGGGCAAGTGGACGAAGCCCCGGGCCTCAGCAGGGCAGCGGGCACATGCTAGGGCCAGCAGCAGAACCTGAAAAAGCACGCATGAGGGCAGTGAGGAAGGTCGCTTCCTTATTCTTGCTTCCAGCCCCCGTGTAAGAGCCTCTGGTCTCTAAAAGAGGGGAGAGAACCCCTAACACCAAAGATTCCATTACATCACAAAGAAAACAAAGGAGAGAATACAGAGGGCCAGGGCGGTGTGGAGAGATGGGAAGGGGAAGCAGGCTCCTACCGTCTTTAACCTGTTGGCCGGCACACGTCCCGTCCAGTTCCCGTTCCTGTTTGGCTCTAATCTGTCCCGCTAGGATTCGCTGCCTCAAATCCCCCATGAAGCACAGCCGCTGCTGCTGAATCTGGGCCCCGCAGGGTGTCTCTCCAGCCCTTGGTGGCCTGTGGTCCTTGTCACTCTGCTCTCCCAGCGCTTTCCTGTCACAGGGGCCGGGGTTACCCGGGGGGAAATGTAAACCCAGCTCAGCAAACACCTCCACGGCCTTAGCCCCTCCCATGGAGTCCTGCATTCAATAAGGCAGAGAGGGCTTTGGACTTCTGGCAACTTGGGACACACAGGCACGGTGTCACAGGCAGCTCATGATGTCACAGTGCAGGAGGGGAGAACAGTCCTGAGACTAGCATATTCTTAGACTGTGGGTTTAGCAGAAACACAAGTTCATTTTGGTTAAGGAAAATAACCAGGAAAGTAAAGCGGCTGTTTTTAGAAAACACAACATTTTAGCTAAATCAAGAAACTTTGTCCTTTAAAAAAGAATAAAAAGGTATCTGCTAAAAATATGTTGTAACTAGACTAGAGCAGAAGCTCCAGAAACACTGTGGGAATGGAAACCCTCTCCTCCATGTTCAGCGATCACGACTGCACCTCCACTCCTAAAGCAGAAACCCTCTTGATGTGGTCGTAGGAGGAGAGGGAACTCAGATGCACGCCAAGCTGCGTGTGCAGCAGGAGCCCCAGGGGAGAGCTGGTCTCCACTCAAGGGCTGTTCTCGGTGAATGAGCCCTGGATGAGGGTTCAAGAGCTTTAGACTCGACCACACCTTTCAGAGATACATGCTGACACGTTTACTGGTGAAACTGTCCAAGATTTGTTTAGATCCAGTGGGGAGGAGTTGGGGATATAAATGAAACAAGATTAGCCATGAGTTGATCATTTGTAGTGTATTTAAAATTTTCCAATAATACAAAATTTAAAAAGGTTTTCTTGGGACTTCCCTGGTGGCACAGTGGTTAAGAATCCGCCTGCCAATGCAGGGGACATGGGTTCGAGCCCTGGCCCGGGAAGATCCCACATGCCGCGGAGCAACTAAGCCCACGCGCCACAACTATGGAGCCTGCGCTCTAGAGCCCGGGAGCCACAACTACTGAAGCCAGCACGCCTAGAGCCCGAGCTCCACAACAAGAGAAGCCACCGCAGTGAGAAGCCCGCGCACCCGCTAGCTGCAACTAGAGAAAGCCCGTGCGCAGCAACGAAGACCCAATGCAGCCAAAAATAAATAAATAAATTTATTTAAAAAAAGGTTCTCTTGGCTTTCATGAAGACCCGGGCTCAATCCCTGGCACCTCCACCTAAAAAAAAAAAAAATTCTAGACTACAGTCATGCTTTTACTCTGCCACCAGGTTCTTGTGTGACCATGGATAAGTCAGAGCCTTCCTCTGAAGAGTGACAGCTTCTCCCCTCATGCTAACCTCTCCCTAGGTGACCTCTATGCAAGGTGACCTCCCTAGGTGACTTCTATGCAAGGGCCTCCCATGCTGTTTCCGCAGGGCCTCTCCGTCCCTGTCATTCAGGTTTCAAAAAGAGCCAAATGCACGGGGCTCCACTCCGGGCTGGGAGGGGGAGCGTCTGGGAAGGGTCAGGGTCTGCTGGAGACCAACACAAAAGCCCCAGCCAGCCTCGCTTATCCTGCCCTCGGCCCTCATTCCAGCCCCAGAAGGCCACGGCTCTCAGGCTTGGAGATTCTCTAAGTGACTTGACACTAGAAGCAGACGACAAACCATCTGAGCAGTGTGCTCTGAGGGGTCCATTCCACTTCGGAGGTTTATCACTTTGTAGAGCAGAAAGAAAGCAGAGGTCCCCAAACTACAGCCTTCGGGCTAAATGATGCGCTGCCTGCTTTTGTGAATCAAGTTATTGGAGCACAGCCACACGCGTGGTTTATGTATCGTCTCGAGGGCTTCCGTGCCTCACTGGCCCAGCAGAATAGCTGCGGCGAAGGCTACAGCACAACCTGGCCCTTCACAGAAAGTCTGCTGCCTCTGTCTTAGAAGAAATTAAGATTTCTTAATGTAGCCTTAGGAGGACAGTGAAGGAGGGACGGGTGGGAGAGTGAATAGATGGATGGGGGCGTGGGTGGGAGCTGACACAACAGCAGGCTCCTCTCTGGAAAGGAGGCTGGGAGGTGACTCAATCTACAGTGAGTCCAGGGATCAGGAGGGGCCCAGGTACCTGTGCGAGTGTGCTCTGGGGAAGACGGCTGCTGGCTGCTGTGGGCAAAAGGGCAACACACAAGAGTGGAAGGTACAGAAAACAGGAAAGGCGCCGTTCGTCACACATAAGGCAAAGGCCAGGGATAGCAACTGGAACAAGAAGCCGGTTAGCGCCACACAAACAGAAAAAGCAGTTAATGGAAAACATTTTACACATATATTTATATGTATCATGCCTGTGTCACAGCTCCAAATTGTGTCTGACCACAGACACGGCTGAATTACAAACCCGAGCCCATCAGAGGGTCTTAGACACACCCAGCTAAGATCTACAACATCAGATACAAGGGGTAGGAGGAAGGAGATCTTTATTCTGAATTCCCTGAGAGTGTTCAGCTTCCTTCTCTGACTGTCCCCGGACCCTCAGATTTACAATCTGCTTCTCCCTAGAAGAGAGCTCCTCCACGCTTCCCCGGGGAAAGCTGTAGCCAGCCTGTCAGCTTCTACAGACCCAATACAGCTTCCTCCATAGCAGCCGCAAGCCCACAAGGAGAGGCTGTCTGGGAGGAGCCCCACAGACATGCACGTTTGTCCGAGGAGCCATACACCATCCAACTGAAAACGTCTCCTGTGCTGAGTACATCAGCCAAGTTCCCCGAAAGCATGTGAAAAAGAACAAGGCGACCTAAATGCTATATGTTGGGTAGATCACCAAGGGCCAGTCTTCAGTAACCTGCGGCCAAGGACCTCTGTCCCTCTCAGATGGTGCCCTTCTCCCTGGGGGACTCCAGCATCCCCAGTTGCTGCCAGGGCTCCATCGCGCCCTCCGGCTGCTCGGCTCTGGCAGCTTCCACAGCAGAAATGCAATGGCACCTACTCGCTGAGGTGGCAGAGGTTGGGGCAGCAGCAACAGTGTCCCCCTAGAGCTTAACCTCTAGGCACTTAAGGTTAAGCTCCCAAAATTCCCAGGGGGAAAATGCCAAGAACACGGACAACAGACAGTTTTCAAGGACAAGCCCTTCTCAGGCCCAGATCACTCACTGCTGCAGGGAGAAAAGGAGGCCGACAGGCCAATCTCCCTGCTCTGGGGGCAGCTCCGGCTTCACAGGCTCCCCACCAGAGAAGCGCCCCTCCAGAGAGAAAGAGGGCGGAAAGGAAACCTAGGACACGGGGAGGTTCGGAGCCGACCCCACCCAAGAGCATATGAGAGACCCTCATGGAGACACAAGCCCAGACGGGAAGCCCTGCTGACAACGCGCAGGGCTCCGCACACTCACTTTCTCTCCCGGCCCCTCTGCCTGCTCAGAGGCTTGAGCCCACACCACCCGCTGCTGCCAGGGGCTGGCGCACACGTGCTGGCAATGGTAGCTGGGCAGGACCGGCCTGGCCCACAGGCTCCCAGAGCTGGAGCTTAAGAGCGAAGGCAGTGAGGGGGAGAGGCCTGCTTCTCCAGTCCCCCTCTGTCCTCTGCATGAAAGGGTGCATTCTTGGTGCAACTGAAAGGTCACGTCCATGCCCATGGGGCTAGAGAGCCTGAGAAGACCTTAAAAAGGCAGAAGCCCAGTGTTCTCTGGGGTGGATGGGTCCACTGGGGCAAGGTGGGAGGACAGGAAAGCAAAAGGGAGGCCACCTTCCCGGGCAGCCCCTGCCGTGAGGGCCTCCTGGCAGCGGGGCTGTGGGGTGTCGGGCACTGGGCACTGGGCAAAGTATTCCATGTGCACTCGCTCTTTCAACCCGTGTCACGAGGACCCCTGGGAGGGAGACGGTAGCATCCTTACTTAGAGGTGAGCCAATAGGCTCAGAGACTCAGTAGCTTGCCTAAGGTCACACAGCTTTTCTGTCGTACAACTAGGAGGTAAGGCCGCTTTACCCAGCTCCAATGTATCTCTTCAGCATCCAAGGCTCTTTAAGTTGCAGAACCGTTCCCTGTAGACCTCTGGACTTTGGGAAAAACACATCCTCAGTGCGACTTCCCAAAGGAACTGACCTAAGACAAGGCCTCCTTTCATGACTTCACTACAAAAAGGGAGGCCACTCTGACAAACAAGAGCCCCGGCCTCAGTCCTGAGTCTACCTTGATCTTGATATGCTCCACCCTATGTCACCCCTCAGGGCCCACAGTCACCCAACACTGACCATCCTCCCTTAGGCCCTGGAGCATTGCCAGCACGTGTGCGCCAGCCCCTAGCAGCAGCGGGTGGTGTGGGCTCAAGCCTCTGGTCGTCAGCAGCCCTCCTGTGAGCACCTGCCTGCTGCTCGTACTACCTGCCTCAGAGTGCTCCTGTCCTCATCCAACATCTCACCACCGAGGTCTGCCCCAAGGCTGTCCTCAGCTGCCATCAAGGCTCCTGGCCTGAGGAAAGAGCAGCAGGGGACCAAGGGCCATCAGAACCCTCCCAGGCACCCTGTGCTCATGGTGCTGGACAGCCCCCCACACCAGGGGTCGCACAGGTACCGGGTCCCCTGCTGACATTTTCTACAGGAAGTCTCCAAGGTACAAGCCACTGTGGCTTTCAGAACAGGACACCATTATTCCCAGGATCCAACCCACAAGGCATCTCGATCTGGGAAGGGGCTTCTATGCAGAAATGGATAAATAACGACTATGAAGAAGAAAAGCAGTTCCCATGAGTCATGTAGAAAACTCGGACCCACACTCCACAGTCTCAAGGCAGGTGAAGCGAGTAGCACAGGGCAGAGCCCCAAGATATTTTCATGTTGGTCCTGGAGTTCCTGCCCCTCATGCATAGTACTGGACCCATGGTTATGAGGAAAAGAGGCTTCTCAATCTCACAGTAACTTTAAAAACTCAGAGGAAGCCACAGTCCTGGAGCTAACTGACACACACGTGAGCTCACACACAGGCAGGCCAGAATTTAAAGGGGTTAATAGAATTTAAAGAGGTAGGTCCAAAAGCAGCAAAGATATCCACAAATACATCAGGTGTAAATCTTGTTGACAGAGGAAGGTGACCACAGGAAACATCATATGATATATACCTCTTTCAGTGATGAAGAAAGTTGCAATACCCAAGGGGAAATGAATGAAGGCCACGACCACCACCCTGCCAACCACCAGCTGAGCGGCTAGCTCAGCGTCCTCAGAACACTCGCCCACGTTGGTTCAGACCAGGCCTCATTCCGAGCTTGGCTGCTACACTCATCTCCTCCCCGCTCCATGTTGTAATGAATTAAAAAGCAAAACCAAAACGTCCCACAGCAGAACGAGCAGCTGTCTCTCACCTTTCCTTCCCAAGCAAAGGGCAAAGACCCAACCGGGAGGCAGTGACATCTCCATCCAAATCCAGCCACTCCAGAGAGCCACTGCTACCAACAGTCTCTCCAACCTGCAGACAAAGAAGGAAGCATCATCACCCCCATCCCAACAGACCCGGACAAAGCTCGACCCCCTCCAGAAAGGAGAAGCGGGGAGGCCAGGAGCCACGTGGAAACACCATGTGCTCACCTGCCTCCTCTGCCGAAGGACGGCGGCCTCTGCGGGGTGGTTGAATCGGAACTTCTGTGCTTTCCCCAGGGTTATGACTGCTCCTGTGGCACAGAGACCAACGCGAATTCAATGCACAGCTCGCGTTCTGAGCACATGTAACATGCAGGCCACTGTTCTGGGGCACAAAGTCCTGCCCCCACAAGTTGATAATTTAGCTGAGTCAATAAGATATGTATTCATTGGATACCGTACAACGTATGTATTGAATTAATGAGATGAACAGGAGGAGCTCTGCTATTCCCAAGGAAAGCAAGATGAGCTCCAAGTGGAGTAGTCAGGGAATGCTTTGTTGAAGAGGGGTATCCAAGCTCAGCCTCAAAGGACAGACAGAATCTGAATAGATTAATAGTAGTAGTAATAGTGACAGTAATCATGATAAGGGATGTTTTCTAAGTGCCAGGAACACTGCTAAGAACACTACACAGACTAGCTCATTCAATCCTCACAACGATTTTATTATTATTCCTATTTTATAGGAAATTGAGGCTCAGAGACTTTCCCAAGGACACAGAGCTAACAAACACAGGTACTAATTTCAGAGAGTCACTCTCTACTCTGGAGCCCTGGAATTGGGGCTTGTTTATGGGAAGAGGACTGTATTAGGGAATCTTCAGATCTCTGGGTGCAGAGGCTGGGTGTTCCATCATTAAAGCCTGCCTCACTGAGTTCTCTGGGTCTGGCCCATGAGAATGGAGCTCGCCAATCACTCATCCTGGCATAAACCGGGCTGTAGGGGGCCCTACCTTGGGTCAGACGGCAGGAGGCGGTGACCTCCCGGCCATTGACTGTGCAGCGGGCCCCGCGGGCAGGCCGCAGAATGACGACCCCACAGGCGCTGGTGATAGTGCAGTGGTCTCTCTCGATCCACTGACCCTGCAGGACTACAGAAGGGGGCGGGGGTCACTTGGGTGGAGGCACAGCCCAGAGAAACACCTCCTCCAGTCTTCTGATGAGATCAGAATCCACATCTGGAAGATCACACATCATGACAGGAGAGGAAGAGCCACCACCTGAAACCACCCAGACCTGGATCATCCCACCGTGTGGGTCTCCTCCTATCATGTCCCAGACCCACAACCTGTCAGGGAAAGAGGAGCGGCCCCTCAGACCTCAAAGATTCCTTCCTCTCAGAGCACCATCACGTTCCTCTGAAGAAACCCGTCCAGCATGAATACCTGCCACAGAGCATCGGACCCATATGCTCTGTCACTCACCAATGTCCTGTTCCTGGTCTGAGTCAATCCTTCCTATTTTTGTTGTCCCCTCCTAAAGGGAAAATCAAAGCCATTTTAATGAGAATAAAAAGGGATGCAGCCCTGCCCCCAAAGGAGAGCCCACCTGTTTGAGCGTCATCACCGTCCTCCCATGCCCACCCCAGCCTTTTCCACACCACTTCTCAGCTTTGCTCCAGGATGTTCTGACTGCTCTGCCCACTCACGCTGCAGCCCAGGAAGCCCCGAGACGGTGGGGTCAGAAAAATGCATGACTAAGCAGCACCAGCTTTTTGCAAAGTCCAACTAGGGCTGGCCGGCTCCTTTCTGTCCCGTAGCCTGGAGTTAGGCCGTCAGAGCTTCTCTAGTCTGGGGAAGTGGGCACATGGGTATAGCTTTCTCCCAGGGCTTAAGGTTAATGTGGTCCGAGTTTGGTCCAGTCAGTCTCAAAGAGGCATGCCTTCTAGGATGATGTATGGAAGCACAGGATTTTTACCTTCTTGGTCCGCAGATGAAGTTTAACAGACACCAGATTCTAAGAAGAGTAAAGCACAAAAAAGAAGCACAAAAAGGAGAAAAGCACATCTAGAATCAAAAAAGACTGGAAGAGAGTACAAGAGAGGAGGGGGAAACTGGAGTTACTATCAATGAATCACTGGGTTAGTAGAAGACAAGGCCTTTGGCCCTTGGACTATAACAATGCAGTTTAAGACCACATAGCTCTGTTTGAGGAAGGCAGCAACACGGCAACAGAGATGGCGAGTTTAGATATGTATTTATCTTTTCTTTTTTTAAATTTATTTATTTTTGGCTGCATTAGGTCTTCGTTGCTATGCACGGGCTTTGTCTAGCTGTGGAGTGCGAGGGGCTACTGTTTGTTGCGGTGCGCGGGCTGCTCATTGCGGTGGCTTCTCTTGTTGTGGAGCATGGGCTCTAGGCACGCGGGCTCAGTGGTTGTGGCTGGAGGGCTCTAGAGCGCAGGTTCAGTAGTTTTAGCGCACGGGCTTAGCTGCTCTGCGGCATGTGGGATCTTCCCGGACCAGGGCTCGAACCCGTGTCCCCTGCATTGGCAGGCAGATTCTTAAGCACTGCGCCACCAGGGAAGCCCAAGATATGTATTTATCATTTACTGACTAACTTTTCCCTGTGCCCCGGGCACTGCGCCAAGTGCTTTACAGATAGCTCTCATTTAATCCTCTAACAACCCAGAATGTAGGTATTACGATCAGGAATTTGAAGCTGACAGGGGATAAGCTGCCCAGGGAGCCCACCCACTAAGTAGGACAACCCTGGCTAGCATTCAGGTCTCTCCAGGCCCTGTGCCCACGTGTTTCCAACCTCGCCAAACCACCTGCCCGGTGACTGGTGTTTTTGAAGTGACTGGAAAGTTCCGCACTAGGCTTCACTATCAGCAGCCAGAAAGGAGGGCCCTGGAGCTCTCCCAAAATCGCCTGAGGAGAAAGACCCCTGGAAGGAACGAACAAGGCTCTGGCTCCCCCCGCACACCCACAACCAGCCAGAGCCCAGGCTTTTCCTCTCAGCCACTGAGGATCACACGATCCAACGGATGCCTGTCTCCAGACACCGCCATCCAGAATCGAGGGAGGGGGGTCAAGACGACTCTCAGGGGTTCAAGGTCAGCCCTGATGATGAGGCACATTCCTCCCAAAGGAATAAAGGCCACAGCACATCCCAACTTCTAGATCTGCAGAGCAGAAACTACCCCAAAATGTGCTGGCATCTCATTTAACATGGGCTGAGCTGGCGCCTGTGCCTGCTGCCCCTCTGCCTCTTTATGCCTGTTTATTGGGAGGGGCAGCAGCACAAAGGCAGTTATGAGATGAAGTCCAGGATATCAGTTACCTGCTCCACCCTCCCTTCCTGCTGCCTGCTCCCCACCTAAGGTGCTTCCCAAGGTGACTCAGGCAAACAGTTTCCAGGCCACTGCGAGGGACTAGTTCTGGGTCTGGAACCAAGTTAGCAAATAAAAACAGAGAATCTTGAGTGAATACTGTTACACTACTACCCAAACCAGGATCTAAACAAACAAAAAGGGGGCAAATGGGTACAAAACCTGCAGAAATGCCATGATTAGAAGTAGACTGAAATCCTGTTTCCCCAGGTTCACGTCCAGAACATGAGGGAGGGAGTGACCCCCAGTGCACTGACTTGGCAAGGACACCAGCACTCCAGCATCGTCCATCTCCCGCCTCCAGCTCAATCTCCCCATCATCCTTCAACCCTCTGTGGCTACCCTAAGCTCTGCCACTTGACATCTAACTTCATCCACTCACTCCACCTCCAATCAATATATCAGATCAGTTCTACTCAAATACTGAGCATTTTAATCCATCTGGTGTCTCCTTGATCTCCAACCTCTCCCCATGGTTCTGACAAATGGAATGACTGATAGTCTTCGGTGTTCAAATTTGTTATTAAGGTAACAGCCACTTCTGCCTGAGGCATTTTCACTGAGATGATTTATACTGTGTCAAAAAAAGAAGCTACTTTAACCTTCTGTCTGGGAGGCTCAGTCTCTGACAACTTCCCTGAGGGCTTATCCTCAGAACACAGACTTTCTAAATGTGTGAGATGGGCCGACATCGTCCCACCACATGTACTGCAGCAATAGCAATTTGATTTCTCCAGGGATGACAGCAGCGTCACACATCCCCATAAACTCTGTTCCTTTTAAATGTCAGTTTAACGTGCTGGGGACAATTATGAAAATGAAGATTGGATTTTCAGTGAGCATAGGGATTTGGGCCATGTAAAGTATGTTCAGCCATCCATGGGGACTGTCCTTCTATAGTAGACAGTCTTGATGAGGACACACTTTTGATGAGGACAGGATATGAGATTACATGGGTCGCTAACCCTCAAAACACTTCATTCAGAAGTGAGGCCCTGGCCTCCAGGTGACAAAGAACCAGGGCAGCGAGGTCTTTGCGGAAGGCCTTCACATCACTCTATTTTCTGTGGGTGGCTGCATGTCACACCCTGGTCACCCCTCGCCCCCCAGCTCTCTGGACTCCTGCACGCTTTCTTGAAGCTTCCTAAATCTACTCCCTCTTTCCTCTCTTCTTTCCCAGGCAAACCTAGTAATGGAGAAGGGGGGTTGAATGAAGTGGGAAAGTACGGGAAGGGAACTGTTTCAGATCTTTTGATCCCTTTAGTCTCTGAAAGCCGTCTGTGAGCAGCCTGTATTTGCGGGGAGTGCTCAGGAGCGCTGCCGGAACTTCGAGTTAGGATTTCACCTCCACGACTGCACTCCCGTGCTTCAGGGAGCCGGATAAGGAATACAAGCAGCATTATTCTTACTTTAAAACAAGGAGATTTAGGCATAGAGAACAAAAGTAAGAGAGACAGTAGCAGCAGCTGAAAACCAAATGATTGTTCTGATTACTAGTCTTCTGCTGGATTCATGCAAAAACAAAACATCAGTTGGTTGGCAGGCCCAGTTTCCTGAGGGCACACCTGAGGGCAGCTCTGCGGCTTTTCCCTCCCTGACCTCTGGGGCCAACGGCTTAAGGAGAGAGAGGGGTGCGCCCGCCCACTCACCTTGAGGTGATAGAGCACGACACCTGTGCTGAGCACATCATCCTCCAAGGCCATCAGGTGTGGCAGGCTGGAGTCGATGACCAGCCCAGCCCTCCTCCTGTTGATGTCCACTCTGTAATGTTCCACGAGGGCCTTCCACTCGTTCCACTTACGGGCCCAGTCTTTAGTCAGCTGGTCAATCTGAGGAGACAGAGGAGGTGGTCTTGGACACTCAGTACAGGGAGCAGATGAACAGTCCGGCGCCATCTGGCCCGATTCCTCACGGCATCACTTCCTCACTTTCCTCCCCGTGACTATTCAAGGCCGCACATGGGCCCTTGCACCTCTGTGAGCTCTCTGTTTTCTAAGTTTTCCTCAAAAAGCAACTGTTACTTTTATAAATAGAAACTCAATAAATGTTATTTTTAAAATTTTCTGCAATGAGCATGTATTGTTTTTATAAAAAAAAAAAAAAAGCACCATAAATGTTATTTTTAAAAATTATTTGGGGACTTCCCTGGTGGCGCAGTGGTTAAGAATCCGCCTGCTGGGCTTCCCTGGTGGCGCAGTGGATGCAGGGGACACGGGTTCGTGCCCCGGTCCGGGAAGATCCCACATGCCGCGGAGCGGCTGGGCCCGTGAGCCATGGCTGCTGAGCCTGCGCGTCCGGAGCCTGTGCTCCACAACAGGAGAGGCCACAACAGTGAGAGGCCCGCGTACCGGAAAAAAAAAAAAAAAAAAGAATCCACCTGCCAATACAGGGAACACAGGTTCAATCCCTGGTCCGGGAAGATCCCACATGCCGCGGAACAACTAAGCTTGTGCACCACCAACTACTGAGCCTGCGCTCTAGAGCCCGCAAGCCACAACTACTGAGCCCACATGCCACAACTACGGAAGCCCGTGTGCCTAGAGCCCGTGCTCCACAACGAGAAGCCACCACAATGAGAAGCCTGCGCACCACAACAAAGAGTAGCCCCTGCTTGCCACAACGAGAGAAAAGCCCACACACAGCAACGAAGACCCAATGCAGCCAAAAATAAATAAATTAATTTTTAAAAATTAGTTGGGATTTGAGTCACGTATCTATTGATATGTTTAAATTCCCCTTTCCACCCCCCTCCTATGTGATCCATACTGGGAGTCCTCTTGTGAACTTCTTTCCCAAGGTGCAGCACCTTGAGTTCTAATATAAGCTTGTATGCACCTCAAACACCAACAAAGCACCAAGACGGGTCTCCCCAGGGAGAATGAAGACTATGAAACTGGTCTGAACTACCACACAATAAAAAAATAACAACAGTAATAACTAATGTTATTAAACACTGAGGGCAGCGGGTGGTGTAAACTGGGAGATTGGGATTGACATATATAATACACACTACTATATATAAAATAGATAACTAATAAGGACCTACTGTACAGCACAGGGAACTCTATTCAATACTCTGTAATGGCCTATATGGGAAAAGAATCTAAAAAAGAGTGGATATATGTATATGTATAACTGATTAACTTTGCTGTACGGCAGGAACTAACACAACATTGTAAATCAACTATACTCCAATAAAAATTAATTTAAAAAAACACTGAGAGCTTATTATGGATCAGGAACAGAGTTTTAAAAATAAACACACTGGGGCTTCCCTGGTGGCGCAGTGGTTGAGAGTCCGCCTGCCGATGCAGGGCACACGGGTTCGTGCCCCGGTCCGGGAAGATCCCACGTGCCACGGAGCGGCTGGGCCCGTGAGCCATGGTCACTGAGCCTGCGCGTCCGGAGCCTGTGCTCCGCAACGGGAGAGGCCACAACAGTGAGAGGTCCGCATACCACAAAAAAAAGAAATAATAATAATAATAAAAAAAATAAACACACCAAGGCTTAGAGGCCTTAAGCTAAGCCCACTTGGGAAACATGAAGGAACAATGTTGAATATAGGGTCCTTTTTATTTCTTACGGTGGAAATTGTTATCAAGGCAGGAAGCTTCTTTTGGGAGTGGAAGAACTGAGGAAGATCAGGAAAAGGAACTGGATTCAGCTAAGTCCTTCTCTCATAAAGAGAAAGCTTAAGAAAAAAAAAATCATGCCAAGTTTAGGTACAAGTATTTTATGACTCTAGAAACATTCTTTTTTTTGGCTGCCCTACGCAGCTTGTTGGATCTTAGCTCCCCGACTAGGGATCGAACCTGTGCCCCCAGCAGTGGAAGCACAGAGTTCTAACCACTGGACCACCAGGGAATTCCCAAAACATTCTTTTTAATGTTATAATCATTGAGTTGAAGTTTGAAAACTACAGGGTACCCGTGAAGGGCTGGGTTGGATTGGGCCCTGGCAGAGGTAGGTGGCAGGGCACATCCCCCTGGAGGCGCTGCAGAGGACACCTCCCCTCTGGCCAGCCTTCATCACCCACTCCTACCTGCCTAAGGTTGTAAGACTAGCAAGCGGCAGGTTCAAGTCCAGGTCTGCCGGCCTGTATAAAGTAAAAATGCTAATGTGCCTGGAATGAACCAAAAATCAGACCATATAGCTAAATACAGAATTTCTGAGAAACTTCTGGATATGTGAAGTAGTCCTAAAGATTAGTTTGGGTAACAAAATATTGACATAGCCAGGATACTTTAATAACATATAAGGATGATGCAGCATTTCCAGTAGAGTACTGGAAATGGGGACATTTGTTTGCAAGACCTAAATCTAACCTGTCACCAAATAATGCCTGCTACTTCTTCCTTTTAAATGTCGCTGGGGGACTTCCCTGGTGGTCCAGTGGTTAAGACTCTGTGCTCCCAATGCAGGGGGCACGGATTCGATCCCTGATCAGGGAACTAAGATCCTGCATGCCGTGTGGCACGGCCAAAAAAAACAAAGTAAAAAAAAAAACTTAACACAAGTGACTTTTTAAAAAAAAGTCTCTGGGAATCACCATTTGATTCAATCTCCCAAAATGTCCTCACCCTCATGGGGTCACAACAACAGTCTCTTTCCTTGTTGATCTCTCTGCTTCCAGCCCTCAATCCATTCTACATGCAACTGTCATATTAATTTCCCCAATATACTCCTTTATCATGTCACTAACTGGGGTCAAGAAGCTATGAGTAACCCTGTTCATGTCAAGTTCAAACCTCCTGAACTGGACCTCTCCTCCCCTACCCTCCGCTCCTCTCTACCAGGAGCACATATCCTAGCCAGCTTCACTGCCCTCACACCCCGTGTGTCCATGTGTCTCACGCCAGCCCTTCTCTCACTTCCGTGGCTTTGCTTCTGTTACCCCTCCCTCACCCCAATACCTCTGCCCATCTCCCTATCTAACAGACCCTATCCATCCTCCAAGGTCTAGTTCAAGTTCTCTGCCTTCCAACTGCAGCACTGAGGCTGGCCCTGAAAATTCCAAGCCACATTTGATTTCTTCCTTCCTAAGCTCTTTACGTCTAACTCACGTAAGTTATTTCATTTAATCATTCTCTAAATGTGCTTCCAACTAGACTGCAAGCCATCTGAGGGCAGGGACTTCTTTGTATCTCCTGCAGCATTGTGCTGAGCACCTAGTTGATGTTCAATGAATACATGTCATTGATTTACTTATTTACTAGAAAATAATTTTTTTCCTAGGCTACTGTCACTATCTGAAGGGAGTTATCATGATCCCCTGGGAAAACAAAGCAGAGTCAGAAAGCCAGTCACCAGCCCTATGACAAACACATCCCCCAACTCAAGGCTCAATGGAGACAAAGGCTGTCTCCACACAGAACCTCTCTGTCCTGGTGGGGGAGCAGTTCTGGCCCAGGAATGATGGAGGGAGGTCAGATCTGTTTCCAAGGTGATGTGAAGCACAACTGAGTCTCCCCAACAGACCCACCTTCAATTCATTTTGGAGAGCCAGCTCCTTCAGATTTTCATCCTTTCCCTCATTCAATGAATGGAAGTTTCTCTGCACAAAGAGAGAGATGTGCTTCATGGGTCCCACCCTCACTCTTGTGAAGGAAAAGATGCAGATAAAGGAAAGACTTTATCGTTAAAATCAGAAACAAATCAGAAGCCTAAGTATTTGGGCTCAGATTGGTACAAAGAAGGAGAATTCAAGGAAATTTTTTCTGGAGGGCCCCATTCCCCGTATCTGCCCACATGCAGACAAGGGCCATTCAGGAAAATGCCCTTTGGACAGCAGAGAGGACACAGTGAGAGGGTGCCCACCCCATCTGAAACTACACAGGTAATCAGAGTAATCACCATCCTATCTCTGGCCTCTGCTCTACAAGCGTCACCTGACTGAGAACACAATGCAGCAGGGCTCAGATACCCTGCAGAAGAGAAGGGGCTCTGGAGGACAGAAAAGTCCTGACTGCCCACATACCAGCTCAAAGCTCAGCAGCATGGCTTTCAGTCTTCCAATCTCTTCCCTGAGTTCTCTGATCAACTTCACGTTTGCATCCTGAAACACAGAGAACTCGGTCACCACTGATTGATATCAGGCCCCGAATGGCTGTGAGATGCTACTCGCAATTAGCCTGGAAGAAGTGGATTACTCCTTTGGAGTAACTTCTAGGGCAGTTTTTTCAAAGTGTGGTCCCAGGATCAGCAGCAACTTCACCTAAGAACTTGTGAGAAATGCAAATTCTGTGGACCACCCCCACTCCCGCAATGCCCCAACACCTATTAATCAGAAACTCTTGAGGGCTGGACCCACCTGTGATTTAACAAACCCTCCAGGTGATTCTGATACACACTTAAGTTTGAGAATCACTGCCTAGAGCAGGAGGTCAGGTAGGTAATATAATACAAATGCTAGAGCATGTAAGGTGCTAATCTTCCTGTATTGAGTGTGACTAAACTTAGTACCTGACAAATTACATTGCCCTTTATTTTTTTTAAGTCTTTATTGAATTTGTTACAGTATTGCTTCTGTTTTATGTTTTGGTTTTTTGGCAGCAAGGCATGTGGGATCTTAGCTCCCCGACCAGGGATCAAACCCACACCCATGCACTGGAAGGCGAAGTCTTAAGCACTGGACCGCAGGGAAGTCCCTACACTGCCCTCTAAAACAGTCCATAAATGGGCTGTATGTGGGCCACCCATTTGTGATCCCTGCCCTGGAACTTTTCACCGAAACTGCAAAGTAGATGAGGAACTTTTGGAATATTCTCATTATTAATTCCGCTTTCAAGACGAAAGGATTCCTCATATGCAACTTTTACCCAAAACAGAGACGGCACTGCAATTTGCATATGAAAAAAGGCACAGAGCAACATAAACTTGGAATAAAGGCAGTAAACACAGACACTTTTAAATGATCTTTCCTCGAGTGGCAACAGTGTACAAGGGCTCTTAAAACCAATGGCCTTAGATAAACATCTAAAATAAATTATTCAAAAAAGGCAACTGAATGAAGCCAGTTGAGATATGAGAGAACGGTATGACACTGAAAGAAAGAATTTCACTCCCTCGGCATTTGGAGAACAAGTCTGGCAGCTGGGGTGAGTACAAAGAGAAGGAAATCAAATGAGAGGAAAAAAGGAGAACTTGGAGTAAACTGCTGTACCAGACCAGGACTTCAAATGAAGGTCTCACCTCATTTACCCGTGGCTTGTTGATGATGTTTTTGGCGTTGGATGCATATCTCAACGTGCTCATGGTCTCACTGTAGCAAGTGTGTGCAGGAGACACGGCTGGGGTAGAAGGAGAAGGTTAAAACACACGCCAAGCCTTTCCAACCCAGCCCATGACCACTGACCTTGCTGCCGTCGCCCAGGCTGTCTGAGACCCTTGATGAAATGGGCGGCAGTGGCAGAGCACCAGTCTCAACACAGAACCAGCTCCGGCAGCCTACTCACTGGCAACCATGATGGTTCTGGAGTTGCCTCCGAGGCTGTCCTTCAGCAGCCAGGTCAACACAGAGTCCCGGTAGGGGATGTAAGACTGCCTCTGGGAAGGTCCTGCTCCACTGCTGGTCCTGGAAGGAGAGCTAGGGATCCCACTGTCACTACCATCGCTCACTGTGCTGCCAAGGCTCTGGCAGCTGTTGAATACCTGAGAGTTCTGGGCTTAAAAGACAAAAAAATAATAAAAGTGGAAGAAAAAAAAGGAATTACGAAACAAATGCATTAAAACAAAGTAATGGTTGGAGAAGGTAGACTTAGCATCACACTTCCTAATCCCTTTCTGCATATGACTGGATGCTTTAAGTGTGGTCCCTGAATTAGACTCTGGACTCAAGAGATGGAATATTTAAGCCAAACAATTTTGTAGTCTCCCTTCTTTTTGGAATGAGAGTGGTAGGATGATGGTCACATTGTGTTCAAAAACTGCAAATATCAATTTTTCATGCCCGAAGCCAGAAGGTAAACTTTATCAGAAAGAACCTTTTAAGTATCTACTCCATTTTGACAAAATGAAAACATATTGAGTTATTTTTCAAAGTCTCCCCTCCCACTCTGATAATCCAGGCTACTGTCAAAATACCTAAGGTGGAGATGACGATCCCCAGAGTCACAAGAGACTTGTTGATATTGGCTCCTTCAGTAATCCGGTCCTTACAGTAACTGGGATCTGCTCTTTCACTAAAACACAGTGGATGAAAAGAGAAACAAAAGTGAACAAGAAGACACTATCCTTATAATGCTGTTGAAAAACACTATCCATTATGTTGCACTTTGTGTAAAAGATCCACATAATAAATTCCTTAGAATTCAGTTCCAGAAAAAATCTTACCATCATGTAACAAACTGGCATTCTTCTGCTTCTCAGGCAATAAAAATCAAACAATTCATTACATTTGGCTGCCAGAGCATTTTGAGTTAATACTTATTCACAGTAATGATACCAACATAGTTTTTTGGTATATACAATTCCCCTTTTGTTTTAATTTCACATATTAATGGCTTTATGCTGTGTCATTAATGGTTTCAAATTCCTTATTTAAGTAAATGTGAAATATTAAAAATTCACACTTCCAGTTGGCTGATACAATTTCTCCAGAAAGCACTTAAGCTTTTAAGGGAGTGGTGTACCATATTAATTATTTAGCAGTTTTAAAATAAGAAAATATGCCTTATTTCATGTTACACTTTTTTCTGACCACATTATTCCTGAAAGTTTCTTCTTTCTGGATATGTAAATGAGTACAATTCATATTTCCTTTTAATACTTAAAAAGGCAGTATCTTCTCCCCAATGCCACAGTATTTTTTAAAGCTTTTTTTTTTTTTTTTTTAAGAAATGTGTAGAACTGCATAAAATCAATATTAGGTCAAAGGAAAAAAGCACGCTAACTCAGTCCCCTCTACTTAGAGCACTGGTTTTCAATCTTGGCTATACACTGCCAGCACTCCCTCTGACTCCACTAATAATCTGATTTATTTGATCTGAGGTGCAACCTAGGCATTGGGAGCTCTAAAAGGTCCAGGTGATTTTAATGGGCAGCTAAGATTGAGAACCCCTAACATAAAATTTTTTAGCCCTCAGAAAACTACAGTTTCTTAACCTAGCATTCAAACCATTTGTTTCTTTTGTAATTTTATCAGGATGACTGAAATGTGTAAAAGGTGGGGAAAAGTTTATTCCCCGTAAAATGAGCAAGAACAAGGTCATTGTCAAGGGAGTAATTCCACTTGGCTTTGAGATCCTAATTACCTGCCTGCTAGGTCCACAAGGTTGATCTTGCTAGCAATTTCAGTGGGGAGGTGGTTCTCTGGGATTGCCTAAAGGGAGAAAAGATATTTAAACCTTGTCACTTGGAACAATATGTTGTTTTTTTCCCATGACACCCTCCTAACCAAGGTGATATTCGGATTTTTAGCCCACTCACTCAAGAAATCTGTATTCTAATGTGTTCTGAACAAGATGAGCTCTCAATATCTGACAATCAGTAAGCCCTGAGTCCTGCCATCATTAAAAAGGTGAGCAAAACTTCCATAGGGTAGGTGGGCAACCCCCCACGAAGTCTCCCTAGCACGGTTTACCGGGTAAATGCTCAACTCTTCTCCAGGAGGCTCTGACCCATCAGTAGAGATCCATAGCAGGTTTGGAGGGGTGGATGATGGGGCTCTGTCTCTTGTTAACCTGAGTCACAGCCTGTTAACTTGCTGGGCAGGACTCTGCCTCTCTCTGTTCTATCCAGAGGCCTCCAGCCCTCAAGAGCAAAACAATCTTTCCTTTTTTTAAAACAATTCAATATGGGGTTTTTGTTGTTGTTGCTTAATTTTAATGTTGTGCATCCATCACTAAAATCCAGTTTTAAAATATTTCCAATAACTCCCCAAATTCCGAGTCTATTTGCAATCAATCTCCATTACCATCTCCAGCCCTAGGTCACCACTCAATTTTCTATCTCTATAAATTTGTCTTCTCAGGATATTTCACACAGATGAGTCATACAATGTCTGGCTTCTTTCACTGTGCATAATTATTTTGAGATTCATCCAGGTCGAGGCATGTGTCAAAAGTTCAATTTTATTGCTGAGTAGTATTCCAGTGTATGAATGTACCATGGTTTATCTATTCACCTCTTTTTTTTGTGGTATGCGGGCCTCTCACTGTTGTGGCCTCTCCCATTGCGGAGCACAGGCTCCAGACGCGCAGGCTCAGCGGCCATGGCTCACAGGCCCAGCGGCCATGGCTCACAGGCCCAGCCACTCCGCAGCATGTGAGATCTTCCCGGAATGGGGCACGAACCCGTGTCCCCTGCATCGGCAGGTGGACCCTCAACCACTGTGCCACCAGGGAAGCCCTCTATTCAACTCTTGATGGACATTGGGTTGTTTCCAGCTTTGAGCAATTACAAATAAAGCTGCTATGAATATTTGTGTACAAGTCTTTGTATGGACATATGACTTCTTTTCTCTTGGGAAAATACCTAGCGCAATGGCTGAATCAAATGGTAGGTATATGTTTAATTTTTAAAGAAACTATTAAATTCTTTTTCAAAGTTGTTGTACCAGTAGTATAGTGTATGAGAACTCCAGCTCCTACAATCTTGCCAATATTTAGTATAATAATTCTTTTTAATTTTAGCTATTTTAAAAGGTGAGTAGTGATAGTTCATTTGGTGTTAACTTGCATTCCTCTAATAATTAATGATGTTTGCATCTTTTCAAGTGCTTAATTGCCATCTGTATATTTTCTCTAGTTAAGTATCAGTTCAAAATTTCTAACCATTTTTTTGAGTTGTTTTATTATTGAGTTTAGAGAGTTCTGTATATATGCTAGATACAAGTCTTTTATCCGACATATGTTTTACAAATAAATTCTCCCTGTGGCTTTTCTTTTTATTCTCTTAATAGTGTCTTTTGAAGAGCAGTAGTTTTAAATTTTGACCAATTCCAAATTTCAATTTGTTCTTTTGTTCAATTTGTGTTTTTAGTGCCATATCTAAAAAAACTTTGCCTAATCCAAGGTCACAAATGTTCTCCCATGTTATTTTCTATGAGTTTAATTGTTTTAGGTTTCACATTAGTGCCTACAATCCAGTTTGAGTTAATTTTTGAATAAAGTATACACTAAAGACTTTCAACAAATTTGGCAATTGTTTTTGGCCATTATTTTTCAATTTTTTCTTATGCCTATTTTCTCTTCTTTCTTTCTGGGATTCCCATTACACTTATGTTGACACACCTGATGTCCCACAGGTCTGTGCAGCTCTGTTCATTTTCCTTCAGTTACTCTTCTTCAAATTGGATGATTTCTATTTGTCTATCTTCAACTTCACTAATTCTTCTGCCATCTCAAATCAGCGCTTGAGTCCCATTAGTGATTTTTTCATTTCTGTTATTGTACATTTCCAGAATTCCCCCTTTTACAATAATTTCTATCATTTTATTGAAATTCCCTAGAGTCATTATCATCATGTTTTCCTTTAATTCTTTAAAACATGGTTTCCTTCAGCTCTTGGAACATATTTATATTAGTTGCTTGGAAGTCTTTGTATGCTGAATCCAACATGTGGAGCCCTTACAGTTGCTTTTTTTTTTTTAAATTAACTTATTTATTTTTGGCTGCTTTGGGTCTTTGCTGCTGCACGCGGGCTTTCTCTAGTTGTAGTGAGCAGGGACTACTCCTCATTGTGGTGCGCAGGCTTCTCATTGCAGTGGCTTCTCTTGTTGCGGAGCACGGGCTCTAGGCAGGCGGGCTTCAGTAGTTGTGGCACGCAGGCTCAGTAGTTGTGGCTCACGGACTCTAGAGTGCAGGCTCAGTAGTTGTGGCACATGGGCTTAGTTGTTCTGTGGCATGTAGGATCTTCCCAGACCAGGGCTCGAACCCATGTCCCCTGCATTAGCAGGCGGATTCTTAACCACTGAGCCACCAGGGATGTCCCTACTTTTTAATTTTAATGTTTATTTTCATTTTAAATGCCCAGACTGATCATATAGATATTAAAGTACTTTGAAATGTTAAAAGTAAAATGTAGGTCAAAGATATTTCGATTAGTCTTTACGAAATGCCTCTACACTTTCTGAGTGTGTAGCTTAGTAGACTGTGTGTAGGTCCTACTTATAATGTTAGGTCATATCAGAGGACCTATAAAGGGAAAGGCAGGAAGAAAGAAAAAGAAATAGGAAGACAGGAAATCAGTCAAAAGGGACAATGAAAGGAAGAAATCTAAGAAAATATAAGTGGTAACCAACCTGCGTATAGTAGATAGTGAAGATGGCATGGGATCTGCTGCTGGCCTCATGAACATGGGTTGCTGCTGTGATTCTGTGTATATAAGGGAAGAAAATTAGGACAAGGATTGTTTATGCATGGTGATCTTTAAGGATCCATGGGGAACACAAGAGATGTTAGTGCTGAGGTTCACAAGTGAGGATCATGAAACACATGTTATTTAGTCTGTTATTGTTAGGAGAGTGGCCCCAAGAGGGCAGGAGCAGTGCTCTAGGTCCTGATATCTGAGAATAAAAGCGAGTGTAGCTTCATATTAAACCACAATTAGAACTTTTTTTAAGCAATAGAAGTTAAAAATCAGAGTTGAAAGCGTGATACTAAAGAGTCATCAACCTGTAAGAATATCCCTAAAACAGACCCATTTAAATAAGACAAATGGATGTAGAGAGCTTGCTGGAGAAGAAGGCTCAAAGACAGAGAAAGTAAGTCATGATTAAACACAGAATATTAATCTTATAGTGCCAGAAAGGGCTAAAATGAGATCTTGAATTACATGAACATCATGCTTAAGCCAGGTAGAATTCATAGGCTCCCTGAAAGATTCATTCCAATCTTGACCCTTAAAGTCAAAGGAGTCTTCCCTTCATCTAAATCTTAGTCAATCTTGCCTCAGTTTAAGACCAACTCATTGACTTCTGTTCTCAGAGGAGTTACAGAATTGAAGAAACGAGTCAAAACCTAGAGGCTGATTTATTCAAGGATAAGAAGGACAAGGTGAGGCCTGACACTTAAAGATCAAGGAGCTCAGGGTACCCTGAAGACATGAAGCAAGTGTCTCCAGAATAGTTCCATGAAAGCCAAGGAATAGAATGTGAAATTTAAATTTCTTCCTTTATGTTCAATTAACTCAGACGTGTTATTAATAGGGTACGTAGAAGACTCTAAATTCCCCCAATTTTTTTTCAGGTAAAAAAGGCTATTTTGGGGGTGTAAAATAACATTCTGGGTATTTCATAGTAACTAAAAATAGAGTATTATCACAATTTACAATAGGTTTCAGGAGAGTCAATAGTATTTCATAGCAGATTCAAAACAGTCTTTTTTTGAGTAACCTTTACAGTATGCAAAACTAGAAGAAAAATGGTTTTCTGAAACATTTTAAACTATATATAAGCTATATTAAAGTATATCACCTCTATCAAGGAGAGGACAGTGCAGGCAAGAATCTGTTCTTTGATGAAAAACAGCAGAAGTTGTGTATTATAAGACAAAGCATAGAGTAATACTCTGGGCTTACTGCCTAATATTATTATACCCAAAACAAACTCCAGCTTCACCACTAGTGAGAAGAGCACTAATCTCAGCCACTGCCCCCTACACTGGGTACACTTCTGTTCTGAGAAAGGCCTGCTGATCGTGGATGTGGGGAGCTGCAGAGAGAATATACACTGTGAAGGGGGATGACAACACAGAAAATAAGAATGAGACTGAAAGAATGACAAGGACAAACAAACCTGTTACCTGTTTGCTATTCCCTCCTCCAAGAGCTGAATTACTTGCTTATAGCTGGTAACTACGTGTTGAGATAAACCTATCCAATTTGTAAGGAGGAAAAAAGAAATTAAAATTTTTTGGCAAAGTTTAACCTTTTCCTGTAGGTAATTAAATTTATCATCCTATTTCATATCAGTTGACAGACAAGAATGAGGGAACAACTTAATTCAGATAATAAATTAAGTCAACAAATATTTATTGGAAGCCTACTGTCAGGCATTGTGACAGTCTCTCTGGGAACATAGGCCCACACAGACATTATAGTCTAGAATTCATGTAGCAGTTATGCTAACAACAATGAAAAGAATAGCAATAACAATTCCTTACAATTTTGCTATATAGGTTATAAGAAAAGTTCTCATAAATTACCTCATTTGGCCCTCACAAAATTCCTGAGGCAGACAAGGGCTACGTGCCCCACAAAATGGTGGACTCGGTTTGACATACAAACCATACAGTACACATGTCCTTATCCTCCCACAGTTTACAATCATGAGAAGTTTTATGATACAAGATAATATGGCCAAGTGCCACAGGACTAGAAAGATAATAAATGTTGAGGAGATCAGAGGAGTGGTCAGGGAAAGCTCCATGGGGGAAGTGAGACTTGAATTTAGCCACTGTAGAATGGGCAGGCTTTAGATAGGTAAAGAGAGCTTAAGGGCATGAAAGTAAATCTTTATGGCTGGTTACCCACCAAGTCAAAAAAGGCCTTCACAACTGTGCTAGAGAATCTCTGTATTAGAGATTCAGGAACCAAAGTAAATTTATGGGCTGATGAGCTGAATACACTTACACTAAAAATTAGCAGTTACTTGAACATTGACTGGATTTTTTTTTTTTTTTTTTTTTTTGCGGTACGCAGGCCTCTCACTGTTGTGGCCTCTCCTGTTGTGGAGCACAGGCTCCGGACGCGCAGGCTCAGCGGCCATGGCTCACGGGCCCAGCCGCTCCGTGGCATGTGGGATCTTCCCGGACTGGGGCACGAACCCACGTCCCCTGCACCGGCAGGCGGACTCTTAACCACTGCACCACCAGGGAAGCCCTGGATTTTTTTATGTTAAGGAATTATTACTATTATTTAGATGTGATAATAGTTTTGGGTATGATTTTTTAAAAAGACATACCTTATCTTTTAGGGCTACATACTAAAATATTTATAGATGAATTGATGTGACATCTGGAATTTGCCTCAGAATAATATAGAATGTGGACAGGAATGTGGACAGGGCAGAATTTGCAAAGGGTTATTGGGTTATGGGTTACTGTGAAATGGGGGTACATTATACTAGTCTATTTTTGTTCAAAATGTTCAAAATTCTCTATAATAAAAAGAATTTTAAAAATTTAACCAAAGATAGGGACTTTCCTGGTGGTTCAGTGGGTAAGACTCTGTGCGGGTTTGATCCTTGGTCAGGGAACTAGATCCCACATGCATGCCGCAACCAAGAGTTCGTATGCCGCAACTAAGAAGTCTGCATGTCACAACTAAGAAGTCCACATGCTGCAACTAAAAGACCCTGCATGCCTCAACAAAGATCCTGTGTGCTGCAACTAAGACCCGGCGCAGCCAAAAAAATAAAAATAAAAAAATAACCAAGGATAGAGACCTTCTGCTTTCTGTAATGGCAAATTACATAATATAAACCAACCCTTCTAAAGACTATTAGAAACAGCTGGACAAAATATAAAAGATATCAGTGTGAAGGCACAGAGGGATGATGAGACAGTGAAAAATTTCCAGGCTATATACTGGGGGAGGATGGAAGTCCAGAGAGATAAAGCCGGCATTTGGGGACACTTCTCCTCTGAGAGCATTTGCCAAACCTTGAGAAGTGGCTGACAGCAGTTCTCTTGACAAACTCACAGGTCTAGGGAGACACAGACTGCAGTCCACAGCCCACCTGGAGTGGGCCCTATGGCACCCCACCTCTTTGGGTTGGAAACCCAAAGGGTTAAAACACAGGAATAAGGTTGAATTAGAAGTAAATAGCCTCTGAAGGGATTACAGCTCAGCTTTGAACATTCTCAGTCCTTAAATTGGACTGATGTGATTCTGAATCACTAATGTGTGCAGGAACCTGGCACAAATAAATAAAAGTCTTCTGTACTGGCAGATATCACTGTTCTAGACTTACAAATGACTTCTATAAGCAATTTAGCAAATACTGTCTGGCACAAAATTATAACAAACCAGACACATAAGTAGACCTGACAACATAAATGAAAACCAGCAAAAATAATAGGGAATAGAAAGAGACCTAAGAAAGATCCAAATACTGGAGTTACAGTAACTTTAAAGTAACTGTGCTTACTATTTTCAAGGGGCTAAAGACAAGATTATAAAATCTCAGAGAAAATTGGAAACTATAATAAAAAGATCAAATGTAGATTTGGGAAGTAAGAACTACTGTAAGTGAAAAAAAGAACTCAGTATCTAAGTTTAACAGCAGGTTAGACATAGCTTAAAAAACAATTAGTGAGGGCTTCCCTGGTGGTGAAGTGGTTAAGAACCTGCCTGCCAACGCAGGGGACACAGGTTCGAGCCCTGGTCCGGGAAGATCCCACATGCCGTGGAGCAACTAAGCCCATGTGCCACAACTACTGAGCCTGCGCTCTAGAGCCCGCGAGCCAGAACTACTGAGCCCACGTGCCACAACTACTGAAGCCCGCACACTTAGAGCCCGTGCTCCGCAACAAGAGAAGCCACTGCAACAAGAAGCCCGCACACTGCAACCAAGAGTAGCACCCGCTCGCTGCAACTAGAGAAAGCCCATGCGCAGCAACGAAGACCCAATGCAGCCAAAAATAAATAAATAAATAAAATAAATTTATAAAAAAGTAAAAAAAACAATTAGTGAACAGGAACATATGTCAGAAACATACAACCAAAATAAAGCACAGAGAGCCAAAAGATACAAAGCATTATATAAGAGAGGGTAAGAATCATAAAGTATATATAACACACCTGTAATTGGAGCTCCAAAAGGAGAGAGTGGGGTAAAAGCAATGTTAGAAGTAATGGCTTAGAAATGTCTGCAAAAAAAGATATAAAACCACAGATTCAGGAAGCCTGACACAATAAAAAAAAAAAAATCTATCCCTCGGCACTTCATGCTAAACCGTTAAAAGCCAAAGACAAAGAGAAAAACCTTAAAGGAATTATTAAGATAACATCTCAACAGAAACAATGGAAGGCAGAAGTCAGTGGAATAATTTTTAATTGCTGAAAGAAAATAACCACCAACTTAAAATTCTACACTTAGTGAACTTCTCCTTTAAGAATAAAGAAGAAATAAAGTTATTTTCAATCAACTGAAAACCAAGAGAATTTGTAAACAGCAGACTCACACTAGAGGAAATACTAAAGATTATTTTTTAGCTGAAGGAAAATACCAGACAGAAGGCAGGAGATTTAAAAAAAAGTTTAGACCACAATATTAGACTTTGATAAGTCAATGACCCATGCTGTAATCTCTACAATGACTACTAAAATAATAATAAGACAATGTGTAAACAGTAAGCTAAAAGAGGAGAAATATGGGATAATTATAAAAATTAACCAACTCAAAAATCATGAAAGTAGAGAAAAAGGAACATAACACAATGTAAAGAGAAAACACAATGTAACAGAATTAAACCCAAATAAAATTAATAATTATATTAAAAATAAACAGACCAAAATATGCTTGAAGTATGCTCAAATTACAAGACCAAAATTGTGATGCTAGATAAAACAAAGCAAAAGCCAAATATTTTATTTAAAAAAAAAAAACACATCTAAAACATATGGCTATAGAAAGGGAGAAAGTATAAAAAAGATTAAAATGCCAACACTAACCAAAAGAAAGCTACAGTAGTTATAGTAATTCCTGACAAAGTAGAGTAGACGTCACGGCAAAGCATTATTAGAGATAAAGAGGGATCCTTCAAAACGATAGAAGCATTCATCAAGAAGATTTAATAATTCTAATTTTGTATGTACATAATAATAAAGTCTCAAAATATATAAAACAAAAATTGCTGGGATTAAAAGGAGAAAAAGACATTCATAGTCATAACAGGAAATTTTAACTAGCCTTTCTTATTATCTCATAAAACAAGCAAAAAAAAATCAATAGGGTTATAGAAGATTTAAGCAACGCAAATAACAAACTTGACAAATAGTATTATATAAATGCTATACCCAACTACTGCATAATTATTTTTAAGAACACGTGGAAAATTTACAAAACTTAGCCATATGCTAGGCCACAAACCAAATTGTTATACATATATATTTTTTAAATGAAATCATATAGAGAGTGTTCTTTGAATGCCATTCTATTAAACTAGATACCTATAATAAAATAGAACTATAAAATCTCCAAATATTTGAAAATTAAGAAATGCAATTCTAAATAACCCATGGGTCAAAAAAGAAATTATGAAAATTACATACAATTTTAAACTAAATAATGATAAAAATACTACACATTAAAATGTGTGCAGTGCAGCTAAAGTTATATTTACAGAAAAATTTATAGCTGTAAATAAATATATTAGGAAAGAAAAAAGGATGAAAATCGACAAGCTAAGCATCTACTTACAAGGTTAAAAAAATCAGCAAATTAGACTCAAGGAAAGGATGAATAAAATAACAAAATATGAACAGAAATTAATAAATACAAAATAAACTTACAGTGGAGGGAAGCCACAAAACCAAAAGTTGATTTTTTGAAAAGACAAAATTAATAAGTCCTTAAATTGAACAAGAAAAAAGAGACAAGGGATAGATAACCAGTTAGGAATGAAAAAAGAGATCCTACATTTAAAGAGTCATCTTACACATAAAGCGTAAGAGGATATTACTCTTTATGCAGGTACATGTCTTACATTTAGAGGAAGTGGATTTTTTAGAAAAATACAATTTACCAAAATTTGGTGCAATAAAAAATAGAATATTTGAAAGAAATCAAATCTATAACCTTAAACCTTCTCATCAAAAAATCCTCCAGACTCAGAAGGCTTTGCCAGCAAATTCCACCAAATATTTAA